CAGTATTGTTCAAGTATTCATTCACTTCCTTACTTTTTGTAAGTGTTATATTCCCTATTATCTTATATTGAATGTTGAGAGCATTTGTTTGTCTGAACAGGTAAACCCACGCTCCACTGTGGCTGCGCGAAGATCGAAATAAAGACCTATTCACTACTTCTCTGGTTTCTTCTATCAATAGCACGAGGGTTACCTTGAGGCACGAAAGTGGTGAGCCCGACGTGATATTGATAGAAGAAACCAGAGAAGTAGTGAATAAGTCTTTATTTCGATCTTCGTGCAGAGATCGTACTTCTAGGGATCAGTCCTATAGTACGTATCACCAGGACGTCAAACAAACTTGACCCTGGCCAACCAACTGCGATGATGATCAGTGCGGCCTACTTGCCTCAAGGTCATGCATTTGATCGATTTTGTTAAAGAGTCCAACTTCTAGCAAGTTCATTCTTTTTACATATATGCATTACAAAAGAGTATTTATTTTTTGTTGTTGTTTTCATGGTTCTTCGTGCACAAGATATCTACACTATGTCTATTTCCTTCCAGAATACCAATCCGTTCTGGAGGCCAAGCACTTACATGAACCGAACAATTATCAATTACATTTATGTATTTCCATTTTGTATCTTATTTTATGCAGGCAGTGGAGCAGTTCTTCAGGTTTGCTTGATTTTCACCATTACCTTTGCAGTAGACTCTTCTTTACTTTTTACTTGAGGGCGACTCAAGAGGCAGGTGAGTAAACACCTAATAGCCGGTCTGAGCATGGAAAAATCGTACCTCACCAACATGGTGTTGGGTAGCCCGCTCGCGGCACTTCCTCAGATATTCTTATTCCACATTCTCACACTTTCTCTTGAAAGCACGCAGCAAACCGTCAGCGATAGTTGTAGAAAAGATCACATGCTACAAAATAAGATGACAGGCTAGTAAATGAAGAGACATCCATGAACTATCATTGAAAGCGTTAGTCGTAACTGATTGTAAGTCAAATAGTGAGCGAGTTGATAATTCCGCCTTGGGATGAGAAATAGAACTAAGGTGTTTTCGATAGATAGGTTAATCGAACCGACGTTCCTACGGAAGTCGATTCTAGGGGGAAGCTAATGTAACAGCTCAGGTTGGTTGGTTAAGAGTTGACCCAAACAACCAAGCATATGCTAAAACAGTATTGTTCAAGTATTCATTCACTTCCTTACTTTTTGTAAGTGTTATATTCCCTATTATCTTATATTGAATGTTGAGAGCATTTGTTTGTCTGAACAGGTAAACCCACGCTCCACTGTGGCTGCGCGAAGATCGAAATAAAGACCTATTCACTACTTCTCTGGTTTCTTCTATCAATAACACGAGGGTTACAATAAGGCACGAAACAGTCACTAATTGGTTGGATGGTGTAAGGTGCAGACATCTGTTTACTGCTCCCAGGCGCCCTTGTTCTAATAGGCAGGCAGAAAAATTTGTCAGAACATTGAAAACCTTTGCTGATTTCAATCCTGCTTGAAGGTTTGATGAAACCGAGAGTTGAGTGGACACATTTCTACTGCAAATTAGAAGTACTAAACATTCTGTAACGAAAGAGACTCGGCCAAACCTATTGAAAGGAAAGATTATCCGTTCGAATATGAGGTGTTAGGAGTCTGCAGAAGTCACATAGTATGGTTGAAATGAACTTCAACCAGCCACGAGAATTGTGGTGGAGACTGTTAGAAAACCTGTGGTTCTGATTCTAGATATCAATGATTTGAATACACACAACCGACATGTTGATTAAATACAATTCCAGAAAGTAGGTGGGTATTTTACAATTTCGTCTGTTAATTCGAATAATAATGAGTGCACTCTTTATCTTACAATCTACATCAAATGCGGTCAGAAAGATACATGGTTGATTTAGGTAAAAGCACAATCGATTACAGAAATTTGCGTTCCCGTTTAAAATGAGGCTGGTGTGGTATTTTTATAAACTAATTATTTCTTTGTGCCTAGTTGCCCGCTGATTATGAATTGCAGATATAATATGTTCATATGTGCTCTGTAGTTCTACCCGCCTAAAATTACACCATTTCAGAAATTCTTAGTTGGCGCAATAATTGCAGTACTTACAATTATCGTAGTATCTTTTACAATAACTAGTTTCCATAGGCCATATACTTCTAAGCTCACCGACCATCTATTAATCGAACACCATTCCTGACATTTTATGTAACTGGCTTTGAGTTCCTCGATTAGAGCAGTTTAAGGGGTAATAGCATCATCAAGCGCTGAATATCCATGACCTCTTCACACCGAATAGCATCATTCAAGTAATGAGAGGTTTTACAAGGTAACCACAGGATACTAGCGAGTTTAACTGCACGATGAACAATATGAAACCACTTAATGTTGCTAAAGAATCGCCAGCCCTCCAAACATAGCTGAGAAATTAAAGACTGGTCATAGTGACAGGTTGGTTATTTTTCAGAGAATCAAGGAGAGTGTAAGTTGAGAACCTGAAACCCCTTGTGAGCACGACATTGGGTTGATAAAACAGCTACTAAATCATCTAACGCCTCAGGATGTTTCTGGAGTCACCTGGCTAAAGGTGTATACACTAGTTAGCCAAACCAACTTAAAGGAAAATCAAACCAGGTTGCTTATAGTAGTATTTAAATCTCCTGATGAACGGGACTTAATATTACAGAATGGACATCAATCAAAGGGTTCAGGAGTTTTAGTCCGTAAGGAATTGCCGCTTGCAGACCCTGTAAAAAGACGAAAAACCGAAAAAATATTACTTTGGTTAGATTCTGGTGAAAAGGACCTAAAAATTGTAAATTTTTGGGTTATGAGGCCTCTACAGAGAGTGATGCAGAGGCCAATATGTGTGCAGCGCGAAGCCATTTAAGTATGCTTCAGATCTATCATACTAATGCCAGAAGCTTGTTCAATAAGTGGTCAGGACTAGGTGCACAGATTGACTCAACTAAGCCATATATAATCGCAGTCACAGAAACTTGGCTGACCCAACCTATAGATAGTACGGAACTTGATTTTGAGGGTTTCGCGTTAGTAAGAGCCGACAGAATCCAGAAACGTAAAGGAGGAGCGGCTCTATTCATCAAGAATACTATCCCATTTTCCATCATTGACAGTGTATCCCACGAGTGTTGAACTTGTGAATTAGTCAGTTGAAAGATAAATTGTCCGGAATAGCCACCTCTTTCTGTATCTATCAATTCAACTGCTCCCGTGGGGCAAGTTATATAGGCAGATGTTCTAGGAATTTGCATACTCAGGCTCGTGAGCATCCCTGTTGTGGTTAGGCTAAGGTGTAGTCAAAACGGTTAACAGCTCTATGTTATCTCATTTAGTTCAGACGGTGCATGGAGCAAAGATCGACCAATATTTCACGACGATATATCGTGTTAAAAGCAGTCAAAGACGGGATAGCAGCCCAGCCAGAGGAGAACCAGTTCGCGGATACGGTAGTTCAAAGGGGCCCCGAATAACATCAGCTGTAATTCACCGTCCAGGAAATGCCAGCCCTTCGGAGTCCTCCTCTTCAGATGAGGACTAACCATCCTGGTATTTTTTCAGGGATTTCCTTACGGGTGTGGCGTGCAAATACTTTTGTTAACGTACATATGACTTTAACATTAAAATATTTATGTTCGAAATTCATTAATGTTGTAGTCCAATATACACTTAACTTCACACTCAGTTTTTTAAAGAATAAGGTGAGGTGAAGTAGTGGGATAGAGTTAAGGCCAGACTGCAGTAAACCGATTCCAATCAAATATGCATACACGTACGGCGGTGGGTCTGAGTTTTGATGTCTTAACTAGGCTTTACTTATAAAATGTAATTTTGTTTAGTCAGGGCATCTGAGATGGTGATGACATTGTTCTGACCTGTAGTTCATATTGTGGTGTACTGGTTCCTCAAGCAGCTCACCGAATGTGAAATAACGATGTAGTTGGAAATTGTCCACTTACTGTGATAATTACCTCGATGGTATGGCTCAGTGGTCAGGCAAATTAGTGCATCTGTCCCACTTTTGCGTCGTTCAAAATTATGATCCGGAATCTCCATTGAAATGAAACACCACTAGGGTACCTTGTTGGCACGTCAGACAAACGAAATACCACACGTTTTCCCACGAGGTGTGTACACAGTGTCTGTGTTTCACCGACCGATCTTCATTGAGAAGATGAAGTTCGCAGGTAGCGTAGTAATACAAGAGTTTCGGTCACGTGACAGCCCGATAGATATGAATGCTTCGAATCGCTGACCTGGTTCGACGTGCGTCGGTAATCGAGTGTAAGCAGGTTTTTCGGGTGCTGATGACGTCCGGACTGTGGTTTTCTGAGAGAATTCCACTCCAAAGAGGATGACAATAAATTTGTGATGAAGTAGATAGTAAGTCAGTGTTAGAACTTTATATCATGTCAAATGCCCCTACCTCAACGTTGGTTACCTTCGATTCGGTGGAATTATCCCACAAACAGGCCTCAGCCGTTTACACGAAGATATTGAAGTCGCATCAGTTTCTGATAAACTGACACGACATTTATCATATAGGCCTCACGAACTTTAGTCTCCGACAGAATCAAGGGCAGTACCAAACACTATAGGTCCACGACCACGGTGTTTTCGGTGCCCCTTCATGAAAGCCCTATTACAATGCACTCAGTGAAAGGATTCGACAGCGAACGCAGTATCGATATATCAACCACGGAAGATGCTTTCAACCAAGAACAAGCGGAACATACGCTCGATAGATCAAGTTGATGTCATGGTATCTTAGGCTAACCGTTTGACCCAGTGTAATGTGTTGTATATCTGTTAGCGAACGATAACATCCTTACAGATAGTGATTCGGTGTAAGCTTGAATGTTTCACCCCAGTTTTTCGTGGTCTTCAGTTGATTACTTACATGTGCTGTTAAAAGCTCAATAAATACTTTTAATGTGTTGCGTGTTTAAGCGTGTGTTTCACATTCAACGTCCGGTGATTAGATGAACATGGTGAGTGGGATGGGGCTCATGAGTTGTTATGTGTTATTACGTCGTTCTTATGATTAACGCGTTGTTTTCTCATTTTTTAGGGTCGTTCAAAGCAGTTGTGTAAGTAATATTCTTTGGTTTGCGTCCCATTTTCTGTCTTTCAATTTACTTACTGGATTGTTCTGTTTCAGTAAATAATTCAACAATTACACCTTCCAAGCCTAGTGCTACTCCGGAATCAAAGAACAAGCATCCCGTCAACGGTAAAGTCACTCCAGTGAGAGGTGGATCCAAGCGTCCAGTCCCTGTCGGCAGCGACGAGAGTGATGCAGACGTTGACTTAGGTGTGTTGGGTGGCGATGCTGGTGAATCAAGGATGTCACATAAGGTAAAAAAGTTGATATGCACACTTCAAAAAGCCTGAACTGTTTTTGTCTTTTTACACCACAAGTTTATTCGGGATGTAAGGATATTCCCGTGAAGTCCCCAATTGTCTGATGGCCTCAAAGTGTAGGGTACTGAGTGTGCGAACTTAGAATTACAGTCCGAATCCGTATAGGTTGTGCTTGCATTACGTCTCGAGTACTTTTTTGTTGGAAGCCTAAACAAAATTTAAGGGTTGTGAGTTGCTCTTTAGTTCGACAAGTGGCATGCACTTGGCAAGTATGAACTGTCTCATGGCAAAGTAGGTGTTCACACGAAACCGATGTTGACCGACGTCTGCCTCGAGCATTGTCGTATGTTCTTATGATCTCCCTACTTATAATGAATGCCTTCACGAAGTTACCTGTCAAGTAGTTGGACAGAAATCGGTATTTGGATGGAGAGATGAGAGTTGATGTTAACCTGAATGTAAGGAAAAGCATAGGTGTCCCATCTGAGCCTTGAGTCCCAATCTCATGCATATCAAGACCCATATTAGATTTTATTAAGTAATCATTCCTAGTTTACATTCTTGCCTGAGTTAAAGTGATGATGCACAAGTCAACTCGTTCCACTAAGCTGACAACCAAATCGTCCCACCACGAAAATAAAGATCAGTCGCTCAAAATCAAAACTAGCTTGTTGGAGCATAGATTTGCTACAAGCAAAGTCAGAGCTATTTTTAAAAGCTTCAAAGTATTGAGTCTTATAACCTGATCAAACGATTTTTGTTCCAACCAAATTCATAGAAATTGAAGCTGGCGACTGAGAAGGAGATGGAATTAGAGGAAAAGGATCTCGGCAGTGAAGATGAAGAGGATGACGATGAGGAAGAGGAGGAGGACGACGACGAAGAAAATGACGATGAAGAAGAGGAAGACGACGACGAAGAGAATGGAGATGACGATGATGATAGCGAGGAGGAAGATGATGACGAGGATGAGTACGAAGAATCCAGTGAAGAAGAGGAAGAAAGCCATGACTGTTCAAACTTGAGTGCTGACAGAGGTAAAGTCATCAACAACCTGGTCGGGTCAAAGGCTGTCCAAAAACCTGGTTCATCGTTGAAAAGTGAGAAACTGACGGAAAAAAAGACATCAAGTACACCAAGTAAAGCAGCTGAGGTGTCTGAGCCACAAAGCAGTACATCAGGCAAAGTGATCATACTACATGGGCCTGATAACTTGAATAATTTGAAAGAATTCCTCTCCAAAATTAGCCAGGTGACCAGCATAAACAGGATCGAACCAGCACCCGTAATGGCTACCATCGCTAATATAAGCGTTTTCAAAAGTCGATTAAAGTCAGGAAAGTTGATGTTTCAAGGGAAAGAGCTCGAAGTAATACCTGTAGATAGAGTTGAAGACGCCAGTAAAGAAATGCAACCCACCAAGACCTTGTTCGTAGGTGGAATCCCAAAAACGTTGACAATCGTAAGTTACTTCTTTCTAAACATTAATATTCCAGGAACAACTAAAAAGTCACCTCCCTAACAACTGCCAACCGGTTTCTTCAAAATTGCTGACTAAACACCCTAAATTTAATAGTGCATTTATGTCCTTCTCCTCTATCGATGCGGCTAAGCAAGTTCACCAGATTTACAGTTCCTTAACTGTGGAAGGTCAACTGCTGAGAACTAACTTCGCAAAAGACCAACAACCTCGTAAGTATTGTTTAGTAGAAGTCGTATAACTGGCATCGTTTAGGAGCTGGTCCTGATGGCTCCGCAAAAGTCTCAATTTCAAACTGGGATGGTCATCCGAATCAGTTGCGTAAACTTTTCCCGACATGTGTAGACGTTCAATGCAATCAAAAAAAACGGTGAGTAAAGTTAGTTTTTTTGCAGATTGGTTCACGCATCTCGTAAACTAGTCAGCTTTTAAACTTACGTCACGCACTTGTTATTTAGCATCGATTACTACAAGTCCTAAATTTTTTCTCCCTCATACAGAAAAGCATTTCTTAAATTTCCTTCCTTGGAAGTCCGAAAGGCCGCTGTCGCACAGCCAAAGTTCCATGCCGGTAAAAAACTGAGACTGGCATTATCAGGCGGACCAGAGCTCAAGACTGCCATAGTTTGGGGTTTTCCGGCTGATGCAAAAGAATCAGACATTAAAGGATTATTTGGTGGAGTCGTTTCAGTGTCACGCGATACAAACACTGGAAACCAACATTCGTAAGTACTTTGATATCTTAATAGTAGCTTTTAAAACCAAATTATTTAAAGCCTTTATGTCATTTTAATTAGATCAGCTTGTTTGCCAAGTCTGACAGTGTTTTGCCTTGTTTCAGATCGATGACGGTCGAGTTTGAGACTGCCGCAGATTGCAGCAATGCAATTTCCTCAAACGCAACTCTAAAAGGTCACCGCGTTACAATATTTCCAAAAGGTATGTCGAACGATATCATAATCTTGCTTAAGAATTTTTGATTTACCCAAGTTGCGTGTCGCTCAGAAACTAAATTATTAGATTTTTCGTTTCAATCTATTGTGTTCTCGTCTCACTAAACTAACACGTTTTTTCCCTTCAGATGTCTATGTCGATGATAATGCTAACGATCAACAAAAACAGTCTGATCCACATGCGAATAAAGCTAAACGTAAGTTTGTTTTGATTTGTTTTGAATGATCATTTGCCAATCGTACTGTCTACCTAAAGGCTTTTGTTGTTCATTATAGCTGTAGAAGTAGGTGCTTCGAAGGTCAAGGCTGGTCAGAAAGTTTCAAAGGCAGAGGAAGTGAAAAACGCAGACGACAGTGAGGATGAGAATGACGATGAAGAGGACGAAGATACTAGTGAAGACTGCGATGACAGTGACGAAGACGATGAAAGTGAAGATGGAAGTGAGGAAGAAGACGTTAGTGAAGATGAAAGTGATGAGGACGTTGACATGATCTCACCTAAAGGCAAGGAGAAAAAACAGCTTCCTGACTCACGAGACAAAAAAACTGGTGGACTTCCAAAAACAGACAACCGTTCAAGAGATCAAAGCAACTTCAAAGCGCAGCACAAATTCGGTGATCATAAAAACAATTCGTTTCGTGGTCGTGGTGGTCGATCTCGCGGCCGGGGTGGTCAGTCACCTCATGGTCGCGGCGGCCAGTTTTTCCGTGGCCGTGGTAGTAACCGTGGGGGGTGGCCTAAACGCGGTGGTTCCGGATAAAGACTTGATTGCTCTGTAAATTCGAATTGCAAATAAATCTTTGTAAATGAATCTGGTTTTCTCTTTAGTTTGTTTTTCGTTCTTGATGAAAACCTCTGTTTTTAGTTAATAACCATGTCACTTACACAAACATATCAGTCTGGTCAAGTCACTTCTCTGGCCGTATACAATCTACCCAGTTCGGCAGACGAAACAGAAGTTCAGTCGGTATTCCCTTCGGCCAGGTCAGTCAACTTCGTACGAAGTCATTCTGTGTCTTCGCAATCTAGAGGGTGAGTGCAATTTGTTCCTTACATTTGATTTGTTATCGATCATTTAACGACATTGTAAGAGGTCTAACTCACCGTTTGATGGGGAGCACCCCAGTAGGTTCGACAGTCTGCGAAATTTTTGTTTGGCAAGTTAAATGTCCAAAGGTGAACCTAGGCATTTTAATGATGTTCCGTTAGTACGTTAACAAGAACTGACTCCGATCTTTTACCTTTCTACCTTTTGTTACTGGCGACGCAGGTGTGCCACATTGACCCATTCCTGTAATGTGAGCAGGTGGTACTATTTGCGATGGAGTGAAATGCAGGAAGGTCGACCCGAACACTTTCGATGGAAGTAGAAACTTGTTACTCGAAAGATCTGCCTACGGGGTCTTTAGTAAAGCTTATTCGCTTCCCATTGATCGCTCCATATTTGCTCTCTTTTTCTGTTTCATATGTGAAACAGCATGTGCATCTTGCAATTCAACAATGCTCGTGACTGTCAACAAGCCTACGATGAATGTCTTCAAGGAAAAGAAATTGGTGGACAGCTGGTCCATGCAGAGCTGAACGGAGGTGAGTCGGCCATTAAAACTCGTGCAAGCACTGAGCTTATTTCGCAAGTTCCTCAATAATCACTCAGTTTAACCTTTTCAGATTATCGTTCCAGTTCGTCAGAAAATTTAAATGTCAGCCAGCATCATGGAGTCAATTCCAGGGATTTCAGACGTCCACATGCCGATAATGAGTGCAGCCAAACCACATATGATCCGCATGGTAGAACTGAAAGTGAAGGTTCTGCCAACGCCTGTACGCTTACTGTGTCAAATCTTCCCTATACAGCATCTGAAAGAGATATTATGCGCGAGTTCCCGGAAGCCCTCCGAGTAGCACTTTCGTTAGACGAGCAGGGTCGTTCTAGAGGGTAAATTTTATTTTTGAACTTATAATTGTATGTAGCGTTGCTCACGTGACTTTCTCAAACTCCGACCAATGCAGCGCCGCTCTTACTTCCTGTGGCAATAAGATGATGGGCGGTAGACCTGTGCGTGGACGAATCCAGAGAGGTAAAGGATTGCCCATACATTGTATGTGATGTTCATTATAGACCAGGAGCACAGCCAACCAAGTTATAATAATCAACGCTCTTATAACCGTGACCAAAGAGAATACGGTCAACGTAATCAACGTGAATACAATCAACGTAATTTCAATAATCGGGACCACACCAACCAGCGTGAAAACGGTAACCAAAGAGATGGCAATCAGCGTGATTATAGTGGCCAACGTGACTATAACAGACAAGGTGAGTTTATTTTGTCAGACAACTAACTGGTTTAGTTGTTCCATTATGTCAGACAGCGTAACTTTTTTTTCATGGTTTTAGGTAGGCAGTTCGACTACAATTCAGGCAGAGGCGAAAGAGACGTAAACCGCTTCCAAGGTGCACCAGCTAATCGAGGCATGTCACGCGAGTTCGGTAGAAACGATCGCTTCGAACGAACAGATCAAAGACGAGATCGCAGCCCAGCCAGAGGAGAACCAGTTCGCGGATACGGTAGTTCAAAGGGGCCCCGAATAACATCAGCTGTAATTCACCGTCCAGGAAATGCCAGCCCTTCGGAGTCCTCCTCTTCAGATGAGGACTAACCATCCTGGTATTTTTTCAGGGATTTCCTTACGGGTGTGGCGTGCAAATACTTTTGTTAACGTACATATGACTTTAACATTAAAATATTTATGTTCGAAATTCATTAATGTTGTAGTCCAATATACACTTAACTTCACACTCAGTTTTTTAAAGAATAAGGTGAGGTGAAGTAGTGGGATAGAGTTAAGGCCAGACTGCAGTAAACCGATTCCAATCAAATATGCATACACGTACGGCGGTGGGTCTGAGTTTTGATGTCTTAACTAGGCTTTACTTATAAAATGTAATTTTGTTTAGTCAGGGCATCTGAGATGGTGATGACATTGTTCTGACCTGTAGTTCATATTGTGGTGTACTGGTTCCTCAAGCAGCTCACCGAATGTGAAATAACGATGTAGTTGGAAATTGTCCACTTACTGTGATAATTACCTCGATGGTATGGCTCAGTGGTCAGGCAAATTAGTGCATCTGTCCCACTTTTGCGTCGTTCAAAATTATGATCCGGAATCTCCATTGAAATGAAACACCACTAGGGTACCTTGTTGGCACGTCAGACAAACGAAATACCACACGTTTTCCCACGAGGTGTGTACACAGTGTCTGTGTTTCACCGACCGATCTTCATTGAGAAGATGAAGTTCGCAGGTAGCGTAGTAATACAAGAGTTTCGGTCACGTGACAGCCCGATAGATATGAATGCTTCGAATCGCTGACCTGGTTCGACGTGCGTCGGTAATCGAGTGTAAGCAGGTTTTTCGGGTGCTGATGACGTCCGGACTGTGGTTTTCTGAGAGAATTCCACTCCAAAGAGGATGACAATAAATTTGTGATGAAGTAGATAGTAAGTCAGTGTTAGAACTTTATATCATGTCAAATGCCCCTACCTCAACGTTGGTTACCTTCGATTCGGTGGAATTATCCCACAAACAGGCCTCAGCCGTTTACACGAAGATATTGAAGTCGCATCAGTTTCTGATAAACTGACACGACATTTATCATATAGGCCTCACGAACTTTAGTCTCCGACAGAATCAAGGGCAGTACCAAACACTATAGGTCCACGACCACGGTGTTTTCGGTGCCCCTTCATGAAAGCCCTATTACAATGCACTCAGTGAAAGGATTCGACAGCGAACGCAGTATCGATATATCAACCACGGAAGATGCTTTCAACCAAGAACAAGCGGAACATACGCTCGATAGATCAAGTTGATGTCATGGTATCTTAGGCTAACCGTTTGACCCAGTGTAATGTGTTGTATATCTGTTAGCGAACGATAACATCCTTACAGATAGTGATTCGGTGTAAGCTTGAATGTTTCACCCCAGTTTTTCGTGGTCTTCAGTTGATTACTTATACGTCCAAACGGTTACTGACTTTAGTCAATACTGAGCATCTTATTAAATATTTCGATGTTTGTCTTTTACTACAACTATTCCATTCGTTGAATTTTCTTTATTACTTACGCCGGTTACCCCCAATGAAACATAAGCCGCCGACCAGAATTCTCCAACCCACTCTGTCCTGGGCCTTTCTAGTTCTATCCAATTGTTCATATCTATTTCCATTTTATATACTAAAATTAGTCTTATCGTATAAACAAGTTTGGATAAGGTTCGTTGATTCGCAAACTTTTCGAAGAGCTTTATTTTTTAAATCACTACTTGTTACCCACCAAATATGATACCAATTTATTCAATCGTAATTTCTTGTTCTAGTAGATTTCCTTTTGATTTTGAAGAGGGAACGTTTTGTCTTCCAGTAGGGTGTGAAGAATTATTTTGTAGGTCATCCGTTTTAAAACTCGGTTATTTAGAAGCACTAGGTTGTTAGACGGAACGGCATTACGCTAACAATATAAAATGCCTGTATTATTTACTTGCCCAACTACTTATGATTTAAAGTGAAAAACTGAAGAAAGTTAGTGAATAATATGCCCCCTTAGGTTGTGTTTACGATAATATCTCTGACGCGTACTAGGTGGACATGAGCCTCGTTTAAACATCAGATAGTTTAACAAATGTAATGTGACCTATAATAATTTTGTTCCGCTCATTATTTTAGTTTCAGCTAGAGAGTGGAGATTGAAGACAATTCAGAATCTTTGACTAATACAGCTTTTCTTTAGTCACTAAGGCATTCCGTCTTAAACAGTAAGAAGGTAAAACAGTCTGATGGGTTCTCTGATCGAACGATTGACTACAATCGGGTTTTACATATTCATGAATGAAATTAACAAACACATGTGACCTCATGATGTAGGAGTTCGGTTGAATATAGTTTATATACCTTATTTCAAACACTATCCAGTCACTGAATATCGAGTAATGCACTCAAAAGTTTTTTAACTGAGTATGTTGAGTCATGCCTTTTTTATCATAGGTTTGAATCATTATACACATAAGTTAATTTAAATTGGTTAAAGAAAAAGAGGACAACTATTTGAAATATTGAATACAGAGGTGTAGACGCAGGTCACTAAGGTTATGATTGTCGAAATTTTTTGTGAAATATCAAAACCATAGACCAAGGCCAAAATAAATAAAATATAATTAACTTGAATTCTAATATGTAGCCTACAATTATCCATAACAGAATACGATAATGGTGATAATACTAATTTTATAGCATTTACTGCATAAATAAAAGATACAATATGAACAATGGAATGCGAACGGTTCTAGCTCAATCATTTGGCAGCACCCAGTTGTAAGAGGTTCATGTTAGACTGAAGCATAATAATAATAAAAATCATAGTGATGATTACATTCGGGTGTAATTCTGTTTTTGGTTGCTGTTGTATAGATGGTGCACTGAACACATGCAAAAGAAAATCCAAAATATGTCATTGTTCATCTACATAGAATGTTAATCTGTAGGGAGATAGGGAAAGATGAACAAAATAAATAATATATAGTGAATTTATGAACATTGTTAGTACACAAACACACTAAAATAAGGTGAAAATCTCCAGGTAAAGCTCGACTAACTACTATTTCTTTTTCATTTTAGCATGAATCTCATCCAAACTTATTTTGTCTCATTTAAAATTCTCTCCAAATCGTCTGAAATATAAAATACTCGTAGCAATCTTTAGTCATGTTTTATTTAAATTAATTGGCAAGGTTCTGTCTCCTAACAACCTAAACGCGATTCAAGATTCAGAAGCTCTATTCCATATATACAATTTATATTAACCAAATATAATACCCAAGACTAAAAACAATGGTAACCAGTGAGATAAGCCTGTATATGTGAAAAACAGGAAGCATATTTGAAAAATTCATTACCATCGAAAAATCAGAATAAATTACTGTACTGGTGTTCTATATTCTGATTTTAAATGATTCCGTTAGTGATGCACACATTAACTTTTCATTCTGCTTTTAACTAATAGTAACTGGGATTCATTTAAAGAAAAAAAACACTGTACATCTGATTCGTCTTAGCCTAAGACTATTTGTGAATATATACCTATCACAACCTGCTTCAGTCTGGGCAGTATCACAGCCCTCACACAAATCGAATGAGATTTGTGAGGCGCATATTTATCTGGTGCTTCCTTGTACCAATATTTATGTGTTTAAATAAATAAACCTATCACAACGAGCGTCGAACCTCATACCAAGAGGATTATCTTTAGATTATCGGCTCGAAAACCAACACTTCACATTTCTAATCAAAGTTAATCAGCGAGGTGTATATATATGTAAACAAATATATGTGAGAAATCGGAATACCAACTTACTCATCCGTTACTATTTCGCTTATATGATTGTTTCAAGTATCGCCTTGATCATAAATATTATTATCATCACCAGTGTCTAATTGACTTGACTGTTCATTTTTATTGACTAATCTACCGAGACCTTCATCAAATTTTCCCGGTGAATGACGAATCTGTATTTCATTTATTGTATGACTATTTGAATCAGTTCGGAATGATTGTGCTTCATCTACTGGACTAGCAAACTGTTGATTGATAACCGGTGAATTACTCGTAGACTGTTTATTTCTGGTACAAGCACTATTGTTGTGATTATTAGCCGAGATTGCTTTAGCCACAGCTTCTGCTTCAGTCTGTAAACGGCTAATTCTATGACACAGCATAGCTAAACTTAAATCTGTTGGTTCTGCTATCAACTGTTGAGTTTCAGTTAGATAATCAATGCCTAAAATATTTGATTCTTTGTTGTGAACTAGAAATAAAAAAAAACTAGTTGTGGAAATCTAAGGAGGTATATATATATATATATATATATATATATGTAATATGTATATAATTTTGAATAATGAATTGGTTGATTGTGAAGATCAGTTCAGTTTCGGGATAATTTTTATCACAGACTGAAAACTATGAAGTGATGGATAGCTGTTTCAACAATGCACATCTACGATCCTGCGGGGAATCGAAATCAGGATCCTCCAGTACTGTCCCAAAAGTAATACCTTTAGATCAGTGGGTCACAATCAAATGGTTCATATTTCTAACTTTAGTCAGTATCTGATAAGGTGCAACGACATTCGATGAAACCTATCTTCCAAATGGCATGTGAAATTCACCAATAACAACTTATTACAAGTACCGTCCTAAAGTCATTATGTTCGTCGAGAAACACAAAGTTTTTGACCTGAACGGATATGGGGTAGTAGAAGCTCACTGATGTAGAGTCTCTTAACTAATATGAAAAAGGTATTCAGACGACTCTAGACTTCAGTAGTTCTCTAGATACGATAAATCTATAATGAAAATTGCCTTCGAACTGAAAAAGAAATCGTTTATATAATTATCTTATTTTCAGGGTGTTAAATTTTTAAAAAGTTCACTGAAATTAATACTATTCAAATAGTGAGTCCTACTCAGATTTGAAATCCTAGTCTATTTACAACATAACATAAACGCTAAATTTCATTATCAATAGACAGCTACTTGACTTTCTACTTCGTTGACTTCGTGAAATACATATAAAAGCAAAAGTGAAACAATTATTATTTACACAGACATTATGGTGACTATAACACGGGGATAATTTTCATTGTGAACTAAACATCTAATTAAAATTAGTGGGTATCGAATAGGTGTTATGTTTTTAACTTCGATAGTGTAATAAAAAGACGAAGATTATCAGAACTATGTTATATATTTCGAATAATCTTATCACACATATACTTGTTAAGATCATTTATATATAAAAATAAAAGGTCAACTAGACTGGAAATGGAGAGTAAGAGTGGACAAGGATAATAATAATAATAATGTGAAAACAATTTGAAACCTAATCACTCTGAATAATAAGCTAATATTACGTAAGTAGGTTTAAGGTGAGAGCAAACTGTTTTTGAATACACAAAGGGGGTTTAAATTTTCGTATGGCTAAGGCTTCAATAAACCTTAGTGTACACCCTTTTACACTTTTATGCAACACCACAAAAGCCGAGTTTAGATTAATCTTATGGCCTGTTCCGATTATATGTTTGGCAATAGAGGATGATGGATGTTTATCCTCATTTGACTCTATTTGTTTCTGCGACAATTATGGTATATTTTTTATATATAGTTGAAATCATGAGTCAATTTTGGTATGTTTTTATTCGTAACACTCCACTGACCAATAAATAACCACAAATTCAGACTAGGTCGAACATAGAAACATCTGGTTTCAATAGTGGTGGGTTATTCACAATCATTGAGCCGATGTTCAGTGGTGCATGTTTTTTAGATAATTAGGTTGTGAATCTTCATTGACAGAGGGGGTTGTGACGTATAATATGTATGTCCAACCACCACCTAGACGTCGGAGTAAGCTAAAAGAAAACTACAGATGGTCAAACTAAGACATGGTATCAGTCCATAACATTGATTGTTAATCTGAACCATATTGAACCCGGTCAGGGTCCACGATAATCGCAATCACTTATTAGAGACGGTATGATATCTCCCATAAATAACTTTATATTCTGTCTTTTCGAGCCATATTCCCAAAATTCACTCTTTTTCATAATGACTGTTGCTACAATCATTTTGACTCATTTGCTATGAATCTCAATTTATCATGCTAATATGGTATGATGACTTTAGCTAGTCCATATTTGTTTCAGGGTTTATATTGATTATGTCTGGCTTCCATTTTCTTTACTTCAGTCAATTTACGAAGTTAGACATTAACACCGTTGGATGCCAGCTCAGTGGTCTATTGGTTAAGGGCTCTGGCTCGAGACTGGTAAGTCCTGGGTTCGAATCTCGCGAGCGCGGGTTCGTGGATGCGCGCTGCTGAGGAGTCCCATAATAGGACGAAACGGCCGTCCAGTGTTTCCAGGTTTTCCATGGTGGTCTAGCTTCAATTGACTCATGCTTTCAACTATGGAATCTACGATATACAATGAACACTGTGCACAAATACCGAGAACAACTATTTCATCATAAAATATAACTGACAAGGAAAATTCTTTTGTTAATATGCTTTTCCGCATATTAATCCTTATTTCCCTTAAGAACGTCTAAACTGATATAAGTAAACGGATAAAATGACTAAATCATTGCAGTTTTACAACTGCTAAGAAAACACTTCCATGATCAAAAGTAATTTAAACGAATACAGAACCTTTGCAAAACAAGTCGTCTCACTAGACTTTATTTGAATTCATTAGAGAGAAAATTCCGAACAGAATAATGCTTTTCAGAGAAATTATTGAAAGAAAATAAAACCCATTATCACTCATAAATTAACCAGTTACATTCATTTAGTGCCCATCGTCTCAATTATATGGTAAATCATATAGCTGAATCATCCTGTTGTATTTTACACTGTCTAATATGATGAGCAAGAAATAAAACCACCAATCAGGTCTTAATTCACTGAAGAGTAAGAGAGAAGTATTCAGTCTTTTAGGTATAAGTATGCTATTTCGCTAGATGAAAAAACCTATTCTTTTGGTTAGTGGTCTTGTCGTTGATATTAGTTCATTTGTGGGCTTGAGTCGATAATCCAGTGTTGTGAGCACACACAATCCAGCTAAATTGTATCATTACGTTCATCTATCGATCAATATTGTATTAATTTCACACTAATAATTCCACACTCACTCAGCATTTATCACTAATCCGAACTAAAAACACTGTTTAGTCTACTTCGATAAAGTACTTAGATTAGTAGACAGAAATTGTGTAGAAAGAAAGCGTATAACGCACAATATTATATACCTGAAAGACCAATTGACTGGAATGGAAGAGAACTGACATCTGAATGACTTGGTACAACTTCACTGGAGTTCATAGTATCTAAATCAGGTCTATTTTTTCAGCAAAAAAATGATTGAAAAAATAAACAAGTGTATCGAGATTATTATGATTTGATCAAATAAATCGAATGAAAGCAACAACAAGAATGATTAATAGCAAGTGTACACATCAATCATTACATTCAACAACTCAAACAGTTAGAGGGTAAATGCCTAAAACAAATTTATTGGAACTAAACATAAATCAGTTCTACTGGACAAAAATATGTAAGATTCTATGATATAATTGTATACCATGGTCAGAAATCTTAAATAACATTTCATTAAATCAGACTCGTCGATACTCTCCTATTACCTCTACTGTTTTGAATTTTACCCTATTAAATTAGTCTGTTGCTCCGCTGCTGTAGAGTGTGACAGCTTTAATCAATGTACAATTGAGTCAAATCATACACTATATGTTTTGCATAAACTGTATTCTCCAGATTTAAAAACTACATTAACAAATTTATATGATAATAAGCTATGTATCACGAATTCGAGAGTTCACTCCTGAAGTTTTAGTGAAAAGCTGTGACTAGTGGACTTTAAACATATCGGACATGAGGCAAAACCCATTAATGGCATTGAAAGAGGGTGCATAATATCATGAATAGATTTAAGTTAGACACGTACGCCATTGCATGCCAAATCATCGGTTTAGAGGATAAGTGCTTCCGTGAGATCGTGGATGCGCATTCTCTAAGAGTCTCATACTAGAATGAAACAGCTGTCCAGAGCTTCCCAATTTTAAACAATATTCTAAGATTGGTTGGCAATATAAACTATAATATTACAAATTCATAGACGACAGTATAGAATCCTGTACAAATAAATACAGATGTAAGTTGGTATATTAGTACAATAAGAATAAATGAATATAATGAGACCAGAAGAAAAGGAAATGATAATACCAACTGCAACGTAAGAAATTTATTCCCAAAAGAAACATTAGCATCGGAGAATCAAAGGTGTGGAATAAAGTTAAGTCGAATATTTGGAGAAAAATAACACAGAATGAATCCAACTGCGTTGTTATGACTGAGTTTGGGTCATATCAAACCGCATACTCAATCATAAATTTTGACTGTTGCTCATACCAAGGAAGTTCGCAATTACCAAAACTGAGTTAAATAACCAACCAGTTCATATACCAATCCTATTTATTTGTTTTGGTTTCTTTGGGTTTCTTTCAACCTACTAATCCCATGCTGCAGACGCTTGAGAACAATTGCTATCATAATAGATGAAAAGTTTAGGATTAACAAACATAATAAGATCTAATTAAAGTTAGTAATCAACGTTTAACCTAAAAGACAACCGTTTTTTACTCTTTTCTGTTAAGAGTAATTTATCATTAGTAGATCTTAAACACCAACTGAAACCCTTTGGGGTTACTTTCAGTCACAAGCTATAAATATATATTGACGTTTTTCTTTTTGTGCTTCCTATTTCCATTTACCCTTGTTATTTGGAATATAATTTCCTTCCTGTTCAACAGTGTTTTGATTTGGGGACTTGTCAAGTGGGTTGGTGTTTAAAAATACTAAGCAATAGGAATAGCTGGGTCGTAATAAGAGAAATTATAACACAAGGGAAGAAGAGAGACCCTGAAATATGATACAGTAAACATCAACCAAATTGTATTTGATGGCGAAGCTCTGAAAGAGGTGGAAACCTTCACACACCTGGGCAATATCACCAATAAAAAGGGTGTCTGAAGAGAATGTGAAGGCACGGATTGGCAAAGCAAGGGTAGCACTTTTACAATTGAAGAATATATGCAACCAAAAAGATCTATTACCCAAAATCAAAGTCAGAATTTTCAGTACAAACGTCAAAACAGTTCTATTGTACGAAGCTGAAACTACCACCATTATCAACAGAAAAGTACATCTTTGATGTGTAAATTAGGAAAAGACGCTGACGGTGGATAGGATACAGTTTACGGGAATTGTTAAACTGCACAAGGTAATGCCTAACTTGAAATTCTCAAGGCATAAGGAAATGAGGCAGATTTGAGAATATATGGTGTCAGGAACTACGGCAAACATCAAGACCAAAAACAGCACTTAGCAACAGCTGGAAAGGAAACTCAGCACAAGGTTAAAGATCCCTGGTTGGTAGCCTATGCTTCGAAATCGGTAGCAGGCTTAAATAAGTAAGTGAGATTCTACATACCAGAGTTGATTAAATTTTGAAATGTTAATATAACACCGAGTGCTCAAACGAAAATGTAATCAAAAACATAACACCAACACCGGTTCACCTTACTGGCAAATAACTAAAGTTCACTGGTGTTTGAACCGATCGATGATGCTTTTTTACCGTTAAGTCTCAATGAGAAATTATTAAACAGATATATTCAGCTGACAAGATTCAAATGAGATAAAACTCATATTTGTGTGTTTGTATTCATTTTTCTATTACTAACAATATCCAACTGATAAAAAAGCATTGGGGAGGAAAGGAAAAATAATAAAAAACTGAATTTACTTTAAACGTGAATTTATGGCTTCTTTCTGATGTCCCAACGATACATGACACAAATTTGGTTTACAATTGTACATTGGTTCATAATTCAATCTATCACATTCCAAATTATCATGAATGTGCTTAGTGTGAGAAGAGCGTTTAATGCACATATCACGAGAATTAATTTCATCTGATAAGATAGATTTACTTGGTGTTGAATTTCCATCACTAGTCAGTGGATGACATGTTTTATTATTTTGAGAGATTGTGCTCATCATTCTCATAGCAGATTTGGATTTTACTGTGGCAGTGCGTGGTGAATTGCATACATGTTTCGGTTGATTAACAAATATTTCATTGTCATGGTTATTTAGTAATAAACATGATGAATTAAACAATTTCTCCTCATCATTATTGTTACTTTTGTTACTACTATTATTACTATTATTAGCCTTAAGATTGGAATCCTCCCAAAAACGTCGATTATTTAATACATGTTCACTTACGTCACGATCTCCTAATTAAAAAAATAACACGATTCAGAGAAATATAATACAAAACGAAAACAGATCCATATTTCAGATATGGATTAGAACGTTGAAATACATTCAATTGACATTCGCTTGTGAAATGTCAAATTGTATTGTAACTACATTACTTGATTTTATTTCTTACGAGACAACTTTCAAGTATTTACACAATCAAAATCCATTAGTAATATTGTAAGAATGATTGATATCTAAAGAATTTGAATAATGAAGCTAAAAACCAGAGGTAAATGGGCCCTTGTTTAAAAATCCTTTCTTATCAGTTACGATTCCAGAATGGATTTCATTACTATCTTAACAACGCAAGTAAATAAACCTTGATTTATCATTTATGTTAATGTGACTTAGTTTTATGAAATTTATTACAACGTGGTAGCTTAATAATTAAAGTGTTAATATTCCAGTCACCGAACTACATGTTCGAACGCTGTCGAACTACTAGCTACAATGATTTTCACGGAGAAAATGTGTAGCAATATAACGTAGGTTGTGTTCATTTCTAAATGTGATTGATTTATATTAGTGCATTGTAGATGTTGAAATACTTTTCTTTTCGGATATTACATCATTTATTGTCATTTTAAGTCGTCTTTCATAGTAAAATGAACTTATTAAACCTACGTTCTATCCAAAACAGCCACGTTCATCGATTTGACATGAAACATAGCATTCAACAACTGTAATAGATCTCATTTGTTTTATAATATAGATTAGTTTTCAAAAAACTATACAACTGACTGAAAATATACTCAGATAAGGATAGTGAAAACGAAAGCTAAGCAATCAGTTTATGACAAATGTATCTATTGTTCAGTTTGATTAACTTAATTCATCCTAGTGCATCTACTTTATTTATTTTATTTAAACACATAAATATTGGTACAAAGGGGTACCAGATACATATGCGCCGCACAAATCTCATTTGATTTGTGTGAGGGCTGTGATACTGCACAGGTGCCCAGACCGAAGCAGGTGGTTTTTTAGGGGGCCACACCCGGAGCTTTTGACCTAAAAGTCTAACCCACAAGCCAGTGGAGCATCGTGAGGAGATGCAGTCCCATGGTAGCCGGTGACCAACAATTGATTCATACGCCATTAGTTCCTTCAGGATACTGGAGCCCATGAGCACCATTGGTTTGGAATCAGGGCTTTCCAACTCCCATAGGTGGATTCTACATATCCGCCAACCCAGTTGAAGCACCGGACATTCGCTTTCCGTCCTCTCAATTTCGTGAACACCCCCCCCCGCCACGAGAGGGCAGTGAGTAGAACTTCCCTGGAAGAGGCTACATATGCATGGCCATGTGAAAGCATTTTGAGAGGAGGAGCGGACTCTCTCCACTCTCGGCCGTACCAGGGCATTTGGGGGCTGAGGGGTATTCAAATGTTTAAAGGAATGTGGAAAGATAATCTTTAGAGAAGAATTACTGATTTATTACAGAGGGTTTGGTGGCTTAGTTAAGTTTCACACAGAGATTGTCTTCTTGTCAGAGGCATAGGTTTTTAAAAATGTACTCAATAAGTTGTGCATATGGCAATCTCTTCTTCCAATTTATATGCTTTTGTAGATAGCAAACACACCAGCTCACATGGCAGCAAAAATGTCCCATTTACGTGATCTGAAATTTACCAAAACGTGTTCAATTATCTGAAAGACAAGCTTTGTTCAGCTTCTGTACTAGTTCTGCTTGACATATGGTCTGACTCTGATAAGGAAATTCTAGACATTAATATTGGTAAAACAGCTATTGGTGTTGTCTTATCTCAAATTGGGTCCAATGTTAAGTACTACATTTGCAACCAGGACTAACCTATATACGAGTTGTACTGCCTCAATCAAGTGAGCACCAGTAGATTTATACTTCAGTAAAGGGTCTTTATTTGAACGAATGTCGACAACAAACATCGAAGTATCACCCTGATGATAACGGATTAGTGGAGCGGACAAGCAGGACTTTAAAAGGATAACCGAAGATTTTTATACAAACTGAACAAGTAATACCTTTGGATATGAATTGCCAAGTTCTCTGTTGAAGTACAGAGGAGTTTGCAAGTGTTCACAAAACAAGCACCGGATTTTTAATGGACAGATTGAGAAATGGACCTAACTGGTGATGATATACTCTTGGGAGTTCAGTGGGATGACCCGCTAACAATTTTTAACTGATTGTTAGACTGAGGGGCGACATTGCATACTGCCATAGTTGGGCTCGGGCAAATTAAAAAAGCTCAAATTCAGAAATTTTAGGATGGCGGCAAAAGTTGAAGCACTATTATGGAAATTACTGATGAAGTTTTGCTTAGGCGATCGAGGTTCTTGAGTCAGAAGAGAGACAAGCAAGAAAATGAGTGGGTTGAGTCTTAAGTGGTACTCCGATGAGTTGCGGAAAACACCTATGCACAATATCTTCGATGCCTAATCTTTCCCGTTACCACCAATGCTATTATTACCTCTGCTATGGGATTACCCTAACAATATCATCTCGCTGCGCTAATGGGGTATGGCAACTTCAATAGACGTACAAACGTACCAGGTTCTACATCGCATTTGACTGAGTGACTGATGAAATGGTATAGGAAGGAAAAGAGAAATCGCGGAGCATAGTAGTTGATTATAATCAACCAAAGCGAAGCTTAGTTGTAAGAGGTGGTACGAATATCAAAACTACCATTATTACTGTTTTTTTCCAAATTCAGAGACACCAGGTGCTCTGAGTATCAATTGGAAAGCAGCGGCAACTAAAGATACAATTCATCCGATGCAAAAGTCTTATGATGGGTTCTAAATAGATTTTAGATTGATAGGTAAATTAGTTGTCCAACTTCTAATAGGGGACGAGTGACAGCAATGCAAGAATCGGTTGCATTGTACAGAGGTTACTAATTTGTTATAAACGCTTCTGCTATACTATGCTAATGCATGTAACTATATATATATATATATATATATATATATATATATATATATATATATATCAAATCAGTGTAAATAATCACTGATAGACCTACCTGTCATTGTTTTTTCATCAATATCATTTTCTAAATGCTGGATTTCATTTTTTATAATCTGTCCTGACGGTGTTATTTTTGTAGTAGTCTTCATCATCTGATTAATCGGATCATTACATATTGATGAGAAATGGTACAATTTGTCAGGTTGAAAATGATCAGAACATTTTGTTGTTGTTTTGACTGCCGTTATAGACGATGACAATGATGAACTAGCACTGTTGTTGTTTTTCCCCAACTGATTACTGTTTTCATTCTTATTACAGTTGATTGGAATAGGTCTATTAGTTACTAGTTCCTTTTGTAGATCATTCCCACTCAACTCATTAGATTGTTTACATTTATAAGATACATAAGATGATGTATGATTACTGCAGGATGGAACTTGATCAGTTGTTACTAATGACAATGGTTTTAAATTGTCTTTATGATATCGAGGTAAATGTTTTAACTTACTACATTGAGATCGTTGAGAATGTTCATGATGATGATGATGCTGATGACTAAAATCAGTTAAACGACGGTTTGATAAACTTTTAGAGCTTTTATTCCTCAATAAATAGCTTTCTGATATTGTTTTCCCATACGATGACGAATGTGAGGATGATAAGGATGACGATGATGAAGCACATAACTTAGGATGAATTAAAGTAGTGTCACTGAAATGAAGAAGTCAATAATAAAAAGAAAATTTAATGACGAGAAGCATGTTTCTTACGTAAAGGTATAGAAACTAGTTTATAAGAAAATGATTTAAAATCGGTTACAGAATGTCATATTTAAAAAGTTAATTTGCATCCATAAAAACAGCTTTATTGTAAACTAAGAACTACTGAACAATTTTAATCACCAAAGATTACCTCTTCGTATTGAATCAAATCTACGGCCGTACAACAATTAACCAGTAATATCACATGTAGATTGTATCAATATATAGATCATTAATGACGTATGGAATTAAGGCCGGTTTATCAAAATTAATTACTGCCCCCCACATCATTGACTGCCGATAGCTTTTACTTTCAACCTACTCTATCAGCCCTAAACTTCACATTAAAGTTTATACAACATCGTATAGATATTTAATTAATTGACAGTATAAAGACGGATATGATGTCGGTTCATCAAACAAGATTTAAAATGAGAATATGAAAAGATAGTCCATGGGGATAATGGATGGTTGAGGAAGGCATATTCAATCATCCATATCCGTATTGTATCACCATTCTTTTAGTTATACGGAAATGACCACCAATGGGTGTTTAGGAATCAACTAAGATTTAAACTTTATTCTTTGCAGTAAATCACCAAAATTTACGGTTGTTTCGGTAGATAGTTCATTTCGTTGATAGATAAATTCCAGAAAAAAACTCTGACGATTTACAAGTTGTAATCAATTTCATACAATGAATTTCTGAACTATCGGTTGGAAGATATGTCAAATAGTCCAGGTTATCATCATGGAGTGTTGGCATTTTAAAAATAATATTGAAACAACTTTGCTTTCAGTTTATTATCCACACACACACTCATTAATGAAAATTTTTTCACACCTCTTCCACTTTCCACTTCTCAAACCTGTTTGCCAACAAAATGAATAGATTTAAAAGTGATAAAATATGTTACCATTGTTTAAAGATGGATATAAAAGCAAATAATTTGCAGAGTGACTAACTTTTTAATAACAATGAACTCTAGTAATCATGTAGTTACCAGTTCAGATTCAGTTTTTAACGTATTTGCAGCTTACTGCATCTTTTTATACATTTTGACGAAGAAATGTGTGCACTGAAACTTACTAAACGCCTATTTCTCTAACACTTTTTTTAACATTGATGGTTATGCCATCAAAATATATCGTTGGAAGTGACGGAAAAAAGACTCAATCTTTTTAAAGCCAACAACCATTTTGCTTTGAAATATGAAAGATTCCAATTGTAAAAATGACAACAACATATATAAGCAAACAATGTCGTGCATGCATGTGGGTTGTTGTCATTTTATTTTGGCCGGGAATTACACCATCACTTTCAACACACTAAAAGATGAATATGGTCATATGCATATGCAAATCAACTACATAAATGTGATATGTGTCAAACTAATGGGATTCATTTTGTGGTTGTTGAAATGATTTTATAGATTCGTTCAAACGTCAAGTTAGTTCTCGCACTTTCAAACCATCCAACTAAACAATAACTAACTTATTGCTGATTAATATCGAAGCAGATCGCTGGAGTTATAACGAGTATGAGACACTACGTTACCGATGACAGTAGATAGTAGTAAAGTTACACCGCAAACCAACTGAAAGGAAATATCTGGACCATTGGAATTAAATTTAGTAGTCTAAAGGTATTCTGTGAACTACGTAAGACCTGAAAGGTTTCAGTTTTCAGTCAGTCAGTCAGCTACAACGTAGGACCAGGCACGTTTATGCATCGGTCCAAGTTGCCATGCCTCGTTGGCACAACAAGTTGAACACCGGATTAATAGAAGTAATTAATTTAGTGGTGGTAGCATATAAAGAAAGGTTGTATAGAAGGATATAGTATAGGAAGGAAAAAAGTTATGAAGAAATTTTAATCTCAAGGTTTAAGGGAAGATAAAGAGTGTATACACCAACACCATTGTGATCGATTCTGGGCCATGTCACCCAGAGTCTCCAACCATTTATTACGATAGTCACGCGGACCCCAACCAGGTGGTCTGCATCTGCCAACATGGCTCAGACTAGAAGTTAGTGACTTCAAGCACTGATGCCATGTTTTGGTTTGGCCGCCCCTAACTCTCTTCCAACAATCCCCTACACTAGTCATCATAGCGCGTCGTGGTAATCGGTGTTCAGGCATACGTAACACATGGCCCAACCATCTCAGTCGATGAAGATTCATCACCTCATCAATTGATTTACCATCGTTCCCTAATACCCTGCGTCTAACCTCACTATTACTTACCCGGTGATCCCAGCAGATGCGAGCAATATTTCTAAGGCATCTGTGGTCAAATACTAGTAACCTACGAGTATCTTCTAATCTTAATGGCCATGTTTCACAACCGTAAAGTAGAACAGAGCGAACTGATGCGCAGTATACTCGTCCTTTAATTGATAGACGGATATCTCGTCTTCGCCATAGGTGACGTAGGGTGGCAAAAGCCAAACGAGCTTTTCGAATCCGTGCTGAGATTTCGTCAGACACCAACCCATTAGGGCTGATCAGACTTCCAAGATAAGTGAAGTTGTCGACGCGTTCGACTACTTCACTCCCTATCCTTAGTTCGGGTGTTGACGCAGGCCAGTCCTAGAGTAACAATTTACATTTGGATGGGGAGAATCGCATCCCAAACATCCTGGCATTATTACTGAGTTCCAACAGAAGACTCTGCATTTTGTCAGCGTCTTCACCAAACAGGACTATGTCATCTGCGTATTCTAAGTCGCTTAGTGGTCCCCCTGGTAGGAGATCAATTCCTGTAAATTCAGTCGAAGACAGTGTTATTTCCAGCAACAGGTCTATAATGAAGTTAAACAAAAATAGGGATAGTGGACAGCCTTGACGGACATCACTTGAGGTTGTAGAATCATATGACAGTTCGCCATAAGCTCTCACTCGACTGGTAGTGTTCGAGTAAAGAGCCTTCACAAGGTTTATGTACTTCTCAGGTACACCTTTCAATGACAGACACTGCCACAGAGTCTCTCGGTCTACAGAGTCAAATGCTGCTTTCAAGTCAAGAAAAACTATCATTGTCGGACGCCGATAAGCGTGTCTGTGCTCTAAAACTTGACGAATGGTGAATATGTGGTCGATACAGCCACGACCAGGTCTGAAGCCAGCCTGATTTTCTCGTGTTTGCAGTTCACGAGTCTTAGTTAGGCGCCCGATAATTATTGAGGCTAGTATTTTAGATGCTATGTTGGTCAGACTAATCCCTCTATGGTTATCGCAGGATGATTTTGACCCCTTTTTATATATTGGGACAAACAGTGATTGTGACCAGTCGGATGGGATTACATCCGTCTCCCAGATTTCAGCCAGAATATTAGTCAACTTAATCGCTAAAATTGGACCACCATATTTATAGACCTCTGGAGCCAATCCATCTGGACCAGCTGCTCTTTCTCGTTTCAGATTACCTATAGCCTTTTGAACTTCAAGTAGGGTCGGGGGGGGGGCTACTTCAATGTTCCATTCAGGTTTTCTAGGAATAGTGGGTAGTTGTGCAGTAGCTGAAGGACAGCTAAACTGCTCCTTAAAGTGTTCCGCCCATCGTTCTAAACGTTTGGGTTGAGAGCAGATAAGGGTTCCGTCTTTTTCGGAGATTGTCTCACTTACACTTGACTTCTTAATTCCGGTTTCTTTTATTAGTCTGAATAGTTGCCTGGTGTTCCCTACAGCAGCTGCCTTTTCCATCTCTTTTACTTTCGTTGCCCACCACTGCTCACGATCGTTCCTTAGACTTCTAGTTAACCTAGATCTAATTTGTTTACGCTCTTCGTCGTGTTCAGAGCCTGATGGGATGAGTTTACGCGAATCCATCAGTGAAATAGACTTAGAAGAAATCCATTGGTTTTTTGGAGCCCTATGGTTTAAATAACTAATAGATGTAACTGCTGTTTCCACAGCTGTTCGTGTGTCTTTCCAAGCAGCATCTGTATCAGTCTCGTTTACAGAACTGCCTAGATGTGAACTCAGTTGTCTCTGTAATTCGCATTTGGCTTTCTCGTCCTCCAGTTCAATCCTAATGGGTCTTCTTAGTGTACTTTTCCTGCGTACATTGAGGCGCAGACAAATGCGCGCTCGTATTAAAGCGTGATCAGAGTCTAAACAAGTATTCCAATACGAGCAACAATCTTCTATTGAGCCTCTCCAACGATGACTGATGACAATATGGTCTATTTGAATCCATCGTTGGTTTGGTGCAGGTGGTCGCCATGTTAGACGATGTCTCTCCTTATGCTTAAAATTAGTGCTTGCTAAAAATAAACGATTGTCTGAGCATAGTTGCAACAGACGATCACCATTATCGGTCCGTTGAGCCGGAATACTAAAACACCCACCTAAATGTCTTTCTGTTTGATTCAAGCTGCCTACCTGGGCATTAAAGTCACCCGCTACGACTACTATGTCTGAGCGCTTAGCTTTCTGAAGAAGCTCAGAGAGTCTTCTGTAAAAGTCAGCTTTCACTTCATTATGGCTGCAGTCAGTGGAAGCATAGGCAGAAACGACGAAAAGGCAACGATGTGTGTCCCTATCCTTCCGAGTTCTTACGGAGCCATTTAGCCGGACAGCACACAGGCGACTGTTAACGGGGATCCATTCTGATAGTGCCTGTTCTGCCCTTGCACTTAGTGCTATGCCTACACCTGCAAGTCCACGAGAACTAGCCAACGGGTCGCCAGATACACGGAGAGTGTATTTCGTTGGCTGTCCATTTTGACGAGGTGAGGTCAAGTGAATGACTACACTGGGATCCTGTATGCGTGTTTCGGAGACACAGCATACATCAATGGTACGAGATTCTAGGGTTTTAGCTAAGGAGGCCTGTTGACCGATTTGGCATAGGGTACGTACGTTGAAGGCTCCAATGTGTAGTTTGGAGCGAGGTTTAAGTAGACCTGGGACAGCGTTTCGCGCACTAGAATCGTTTGCCATGGTGACACTTGAGGAGGAAACCGGAACAGGAAGTTTAGTGCTGAAAGTCAAGGTAGAAGGAATAGTAGGAATTGAAGGAGATTGATTATGAGTACAGTGGTCTTGAGTGCTGTTAGAGGTATGAGGGCAGTTATCACTTCCCGGCTGCCCACACCGTGGAAGGGTTCTTCTAAGGGTATCTGAAAAGGAAATTGGGTTAAAAGTGGTCTTAATGACCTGAGAGCGTGACCGCAGTGCCCAAGGGACAACTGCTTGAGGTCGGTCACACACGACCTTTTTGTGGGTAGTTTTTGTGTTAGCTCCGTTCTTCAAAGGACCGTACCGCCGGAGACGGAAATCCGTGGAATAAGGCGAGGTGTGCATTTTTAGGGTCGACCTTTTCTAACCACACCCCTCCTTGTGGGAAGGCAGCATCACTGCAGATGCTGGTTGTCTGAAGGAAACACCTTACTGCCGTCACACCTCTGCACAGTCGGCAGTACGACTTCACCTTCGGACCTTGGGATTGCTGCTTTTAGTCTTACCGCTATTCAACCGACCTGTCTGGTATGGTAGGACCTCGAGGAACGATTGTTCCAGCCAGCATAGCTCGATTGCTTCATCACGATAGGCAAGCCCGACCACCACGTCAAGGTAGCAGCAACGGTCGGGGGTTTCAGTTTTATATTATGTAAGACCATAAATAAGCATTGCTAAGGTGTCTTAAACTAACACTAAACAGCTTCGCATCCGTTACTACTTTTACATGACTCACTAACAGTTGTCAGTGATTGATAAAAACCGTTATCAGCTCTGAGTGTAAATTGTAGTCACATAGTGTTAAGAACACAATAACATGATAGATTGTAGTCGAATGAGTTGTGTAACTAGATATCACAGTACGTAGTGTTTCTCCAAGATATTTGAAGGCAATGACAAGTAGTTAGTTCTTAAAGAAAAAAAAACAAACTATGACTATTGCTGAAGCATTCTAGTTGAAGAAATGGGTCGTTAACAAATTCCAACTTTGGTCTAACTTAGATATTTCTTTCAATCAGTCGAGCAAAAATCGCTAATCACCTTGGAAGTACAAATTTGCATTCGATGAAACTTTTTTAAAAATTCTGATGCTTTGCAAATACAACTGGAATAAATATACAGATTTCGTTGTTAACTACCGATATTGAATTGTGACAAACAGGGACCGACATACTTTTCTGTGTTAAGTCTTAAATTATCTAGAACTGACTGATATACATATAATTAGGTTCAAAAAGGAGACGGCCTACCTGCAAACATTGGGAACCTTGGTTATTCTTTCCCAATTCGCTTCACTAACTAATCCTGGTTGATAATTTGAAGAGGATTGACATCCGTTCAACTTTTCACTAAAAATTGATCTAGGTGAAGAGTCTATATCAAGTCCATTGATATTGTTATTGCAATTATTATTACTATTATTATGAGTGATGTCTATCGTCTGTGTTTGAATAACAGAAAATGGTTTTTGTTCTTTGAAATTACATTGTAATTTACTGTCATGATTGAATCGACTGGTTGATGCCTCACTGAACTGTAACTTTGATTTATCCTTTGTAGATAATTTAAACCATAATGGATGACGTGAGATTTGGTTAACCTTTCGTGTATTATTGATGTTATTATTATTAGTATTACTATTATTACTAATGCTATCATTGGCAGATCGTAGAACAGGCAGTTTTAAAAGCTCCTCAATTGTATTCCTATTTCTAGTATGATATTCATAATCATCATAAGTTGAGTTTATATCACTACCAACATCCGTCATAAGATTACATTCATATTCTATCATTGGTATAATACCATTATTAGTATTAGGAGTAGTGATTGTTGTCGTTGCAGCAATGGTTTGTTTTTGATTTTTCAATGCCTTAATTGAATCTATGATGTTTAATGAATTTTTCGGTTTATTCATAAACCTATTTTTTAATAAAAGTAATTTATTCGAATCAATACTTGATTGCAAACTGTCATGATCTGAGAGAATCTCTGATGTTTGTGATACTATATCATAATCATGTATAGTTTGTCTAATCTGTTCAACATCGTCATTATCATCACTTAAACTATTATCCATATCATTATTAGATTTCGTATAGTTGTGAAATTTCGATATGAAATTTTGTTGCCTATCACCTTCATTATCTTCATCATTATCCGTTTGTTCTTCATCATCATCTTCACCAACATCACCACCATCTTCACCCACTTGGTCATCATCATCGTCTATTTTTTCAACCTCGTCAGCATCACCACCACCATCATCATTGTTGTTGTTCTCAGAGTCGCCATCACCAAATTCCCCTTCATCATCACCACCATAAGAGATTGGTTCACTGAAATGCGTAGATTCTACATCAACATCTTCATGAGGCATTAACTGTTCACTAGTATTAAAATATCTACTTGAATCAATAAAGAAGCCATCTTCCTCACTATTGACATTATTGTTATTATGATTATTATCCTCATTACTATATGAAACAGTTAATTGGCTGATATCTAAACTTGATAAAATTGATGAGTTTATTACAGGTTGTTCTTGCTGATTTGCAGTCAAAATTAAATTTAATAATGGCTCTGAAATGTCAATAGATAACTGGGCAATTGAATTCGCTTGTAGTTCATTGAGCTAAAATGTAATTTAAGAAAATTTTAAAGGTGAAAAACAAAAGAAAAATAGTTTTATTATGAAAATACTTTATTATGATCGTTAGACTAATCCACTTTACCATTACAGTTGTTATGCGCACACATTAAAAAGATGTGTGTTCGAAGCATGGCTCCACTAAAGAGTAACATTCGTAAGTTAGACGACTGGTACAAGATAAAGTTGGCAAGTCAGTTGATAAGGCTGACTCCAGTGAACAAGACTTGTTGTGTACCTCCCCCAACCACCTACCTTGATACATAGTTCTTTTTAGCATAAAAGTAAATTAAAGAAGATATAACATCAGATCACAGTCACTGACTTGATATAAACCATCTTGGTAAGTATAAAGTACTTGATCGGGGATTGAATCTGACTGATATATAAGTTGGAACCCAATATACTCAGGCTGATAAAGTCTGCTACGTGACCAGCAGTACATGTAATCATTCAAATATACAAACTTATCAACTATAAGATTATTAGTTATCATATTCACCGTAAGAGTTAAATGTCTGAATTTAAGTTCATGTAAAGTTACTCATTAGCGGACAGCAGTAAGGAACGTAGGAACCTGTGAAAAATGTGCATTAGCTCACGATATCACACCACATTAGCATAGTGAGATGAAATTATGAAGACGAATACTAATGTAGTGGGAGTAGTAATAGTATTAGTAGTATTAGTATTAAAAAGATCAATGGTAGAATATGATTCTAGAAGAATGAATTCACAGAATAAAACGTATGGAATAATTTTGAAACTCAGGAACTAATGGTAAACAAAGAATGATTACAACTGCACTACCGTGGCTGATTCTGATGCATATTATCCGACGTCTTACATATATTAATTCAGTTTAGCATAACGTTCGTTTAAAATGTGTGGTATATCATCCAACTCCTTAGAACAAAAATTTACAATTTAATTGGTCTACTTTGTGAGATACTATATGGAATAATCTCAACGCTGCTTTGTTTGGAATATTAAAAATCATTATTGTCACTATCATTATTATACGTATGATACATATATCATCTACAACTTACCTGTTCAGCGTATTCATTGTCGACATCCGTAGTTCGTGAATTCAACACATTGACCGTAGTTAAACAATCATCAACCTCTTCATTAGTTAAGTTTTCACTATTATTATTATTATTATTATTATTATTATTATTATTATTATTATTATTATTATTATTATTATTATTATTATTATTGTTACTGACACCACGCAGTGACTGTGTATGATTTTCACTATTTGTTAAATGATTCCTAATTGAAGTGTTATTCGTACTGTTTATTAGACAACACTGAGATGTACAATCATTTCGATCCATGTTTATACAATCTTTATTTTTCATTTCTGGAACAGATGCTGCATACTTATTTGACTCATTAGTAGAATTATCAATAAATTCTTCATTAATAGATTGTGCTGGTAATGATAATGATGGTTGAAGCTCAAGTGGAGAAGGAGACGTTGTCATAATACATGTCGACTGACTAATTGTAGAAGTGGGATCCGAGAGACTAGTTGAAGGTTTTAATGAATCTGTCGACTGTTGACAAACAACAGAAGTACTACTTGTTGTAGTAACAACAGTTGAGTTAAAAATATCAGTAATGGGAGAGGCAGCAGTAGCAGTATTAGTAGTAGCAACAGAAATAATATTTGTTTGTCTGGCTACTTCCATCGATAAACGTTCTTTTAATTCAGCCAACTGTGTAAAACAATGACCTTGATTCGCTTCAAGTTGTAAAATATGCCAATTTTGATCACGACACTTTTGAAAGTAAGTTGGCGCTCTTACCTAATTTTTTTTAAAAGGAAAAAGCTGTATTTTTAAAAATCATCAACAAATAATCAATGATAACTTTAGCCATAAATGACTTTATTGAAGCTTTATACATGACAGACAAGTAAATTTATCAATTTTATGACCTGTTAGTTACAATAATTATGATGGGAATTTAATATACATCATAAACTGACTTCGGTTAGAGAACCATTGAAAGACAGAGATGCTATTTCATCCCAGTCTTAAGTTCCGTGGTTGTGGGTACTTATGACCGAGTCAGGTATTGGTTACAGGATCGCCAAAATCCCTGCTGAGTCCGTTACCTGTAGACCACTGAGTTTCAACATCATGTAGTGTCGGTTGATATGTTAAGTCCATATACTTTATTCTAGCTTCTGGACAAGTCAATCTACCTATTCGTCATGAGTCATGTTTTGATCTTGTTAACTATTCACTAGTTAACCCTGACTATTTTTTATGTGAGCGTATGTGTGTGTACACTTCTTATTCATCATTTGTCTGTAATTTATCATTATCTGACTATAAATATTGATAGACGCTTGATTAAAGCGAGTTGGCTTATACGCCATCTCCAGTGTGTGTCGTTTTTGCTTCGCTCTCTTATATTCGCTTCATCCCTCTGGTTTCCTGTCCAGATCAATGAGTGTAGAAAATATAAGTATTCGAAATCCATCCTCGTGTTTGACTTATTTAACTCCGTTATTCATCAGCGCGGATTAAGTGATTTATTACATACGAGGATAGACAGGATGTATATTTTGACAACAATCATTCATACGACCAAATTGGAAATCAGATCTTAGCTCTCAACAATCACATGCTCTATCCCTGATGAGAAGTTACGAAATGGGATGAAACAGCTGCCCAGTATCCATAATCCTAAATGATTCTCCAACTGTCACCAGTTCGAGATAAAAGCCAACTTCAAATTAAGCAATCACTACAAATATTCTACGAGCTCGATAAAATTACCTTGGATTTAAGTAAACTGCATGTGATGTTGAATCACCCTGACTGGTCGTATTGCAACTTGATCTGTTGAATGCGGCCACCATCAAGAACCTGATAAACATACCATTGACCACTGATCAGTGATCAATTAATGTAAATATATTACTCATACTGGAGGTTTGTAGTGGACCCAACACCTTAGTAGTAACGTCTCCAACTGTGGAGTTGGATGACACGTGTTCGAAACCCAAAGGGAGTATCAATTCCCTAAAGACTGCTAGGTATGAGAAGCTGACGAGTCTCAACTAACGTGAGGATTACTTCTACAACCTAACATATAAAAATGGTACGCGCGATGTGCAGTTACTTAAATTAATCATCACATTACAGTCAAGACTAGATACACATGACATTTGTAATTTCGCAGTCTAGAATCGATGGGACATTTACATAAAACTGCCATTTACTTGACAACCAATGGAAAAGACAAAATCATAAACCATAACTACGACAATACAGTCATAAATAAACTTCATGAGTTTATTGTAGAGTAGATAGTGTATAACAATAATTATCAAAAGGTTTAAGCCTCTTTTATAATAAGATTGTTACAAGCTTATTTCCTTACAATATAACAAGTATAAATTAATTAAAAGGGTTTGGGTAAACTTACACTTTCTTATGTAAATACATTGAAGATATAAAACGATGAGAATATGTCCAGTTTGTAAGGCTAAGTAGTGCGAGTACAATAGTCCATAGTTCGTCTACATCAATTTTTCCCCATCATAGCAGTTACCTTGACGTGGTGGTCAGGCTAGCTTATCGTGATTAACCAATCGGGCTATATTGGCTACAACAATCATTCTTCAAGGTTCTACCATGCCAAATAGATCGGTTGAATAACGGTACGACTAAAAGCAAAACCTTACTGTTGACTGTACAGAGGTATAACAGTAAGGTGTTTCCCTCAGACAAACAACATAACAGCAATGCTACCTTCCAACAAAGGAAGGAAGAGGTTAGAAAAAGGACGATCCTAATGGTGCTCACCTCGCCTTGTCCCACGGATATGTCTCCGGCGGTAAGGTTTCAACAAGTACGGAGCTAGCACAGAAAGGTCGTGTGTGACCGGCCTCAAGCAGTTGTCCCTTGGGCACTGCGGTCACTAAGACCAATTCAAATCCAATTTCATTTCCAGGTACCGCTAGAAGAACCCTTCCATGGTGTGTGCAACCGGAAAGTGATAACCACCCTCATACCTGCAACAACACTCAATATAACTGTATTCATAATCGATTTCCCTCTTCAATTCCTATTATTCCTCCTACCTCGACTATTAACTCTATACTTCCTACTTAAATGTCACCATGGCCAACGATTATATAGCGCGAAACACCATCCCAGGTCTACTAAAAACTCGCTCTAAACTACATATTGGAGCCTTCAACGTACATAACCTATGTCAGATCGGCCAGAACGCCTCCTTCGCTAAGACTCTAGAATCTAGCACCACTGATGTATGGTGTCTTCGAGACACGTATACAAAATTTTGGTGTGGTCATTCATTGAACTTGAGCCCCTTAAATGCTGTGGTATGGCCGAGGGTAGGGAGAGTCTGCTCTCGTCAAATGTGAGGGCGAGGATCGGCAAAGCAAGAACAGCATATTTACAACTGAAGAACATCTGGAACTCAAAACAATTGTCAACTAACACCAAGATCAGAATTTTCAATACAAATATCAAGACAGTTCTACTGTATGGGGCGGAAACGTGGAGAACTACGAAAGCCATCATCCAGAAGATACAGGTGTTTATTAACAGTTTTCTACACAAGATACTTCGGATCCGTTGGCCAGACACGATCGCCAACATTGTATTGTGGGAGACAACATACCAGATTTCAATGGAGGAAGAAATCAGGAAGAAGCGCTGGAAGTGGATAGGACAGATTTTGAAGAAATCACCCAATCTTGTTGCTATAAGTTGAAATGTAGCAACTTAGGTCGAAGGATATTTATAGTTCTGGGTTGTCTACTTCCAGACTTACTGACGAGTTGATACGTTACGCATATAAACTGGGAATTAATGTCAGCAATTAAAGAAAAACAATGTAGAACCAAAAGTAAAAATACAAACAAATTACTTGGAATTTAAGTAGTATTGAGTCTGTTTCACTATTTAAATAACCTTCATTAACTAATAAATCCAAACGAAAGAAACGATTATAACCCCAACATTCACCAACTTCAAAATGTGAAGCAAATTCACGTACAATATTGCGACTGGGATCACGAGATTGTTGATGAACCATTTCTACACGATATTCATATCTAAAAAAAACAGTAACCATAATTATTTAGTAGTTCACAGTGAAATGGATGGAAGTATTAGGTGCCTGTATGTATCTTTATTGAATGTTCTTTACGCACAAAATGAAGTAAGAAAAATAAGGGTTATACAGTAGATTGGATATAACGATAATTTTTATCTCAAGATAATTTTGTATCATTCTCAGTATGTTGACCAACCAACAGTAAAAAACAAAGTGTTTATTATTTAATTTTCAAAAACTCTGAATGTAGTTTTGATGTAGGACGGATGAAAATTTCAAACATTTATCGTGAACAAAAGATTCAAAATGAAACGGTAATGTTACACAGTAGATAATTATTGAAAGGACTAAAGGAAACTAGCTATTAAAGAAAACTGGCAGTTGGAATAAGGAATTAAAGATCCAAGAAATGACGGAAATAACATTTCAACTGCCCTCTAATTAAAGTCGAGATAGTCACAATCCACAAATCAATTTGAATGCTACATTCAGATAGTCGTCAACTTTTAGAAAACAAGAGAAAAATTCCCCAAGCTTCAAACCAGAGAAAAAAATATTGGAATCTAATGCGTTAATTAAGAATATATTTCAAGATTGCAGTTATTGTTTTCAACTAAACTGAATGGAGTTATCAATTAGTTCCATATTATTGAATTTCGATTACTGAAGGTCTGTTGTGATAAACAGAGGAGAACCAACCTTAACAAACATGGTTACTAAGATGTCATGACCTATAATGATCAAGCATTTAATGGGAAATCCAAAATGGAAAAAATTTAGAAAACCAGGAATCATTGCTGCATCGACAAAACACAAAAGAAATGAATTAAAATTGTTCAGATTTTTGATTTTGTTTAATTTCTTCAAGGACATTCTGTTTAAAACCAACACTTGATCAATCCAAAGTTTCGAGGATCGGTCTATCTCACAGAAAAAGCTCCTAATTAATCTCGAGCACATAAAAAACAAAGTCTTGAGGTTGAAGCTTCGAGAGAAATACAATCTCAAGTGCACTCTGGGTGACAAGTGTATGGATGTTTTGTATATGATTCTCGCCCCCAAATGCCCTGGTATGGCCGAGAGTGGGGAGGGGCCACCCTCCCTCTCGAAATACTCTCACACGGCCACGTGTATATAGCCTCTTCCAGGGAAGTTCTACTTACTGCCCTCTCGTGGCGAGGAGTTGCTTACGAAAGTGAGAGGACGAAAAGCGAATGTCCGGCGCTTTAACCGGGCCGGTGGACATGGTGAGTCCACCTAGGGAGGTTGGAAAACCCTGATTCCAAACCAATGGTGCTCATGGGCTCCAGGATCCTGAAGGAACTAATGGCGTATGAACCAATTGTTGATCACCGGCTACCATGGGACTGCATCTCCTCACGATGCTCCACTGGCTTGTGGATCAGACCTTTAGGTCAAAGGCTAGGGGTGTGGCCCCCTAAGGGAACCACCTGCTTCGGTTTGGGCACCTGTGCAGTATAACAGCCCTCACACAAATCAAATGAAATGACAACTAATACTAGAAATACTATTCTCGCTTCAACTAGAATTCAGACAATTCACATTCACTTGATAACACTTAATTTTATTATTATTACTAATATAATCATTTATATATATATATATATATATATATATATATATATCACTTATCTTCCTCTATTCTCACTTCATATACTCCCATTTTCCAACTTATACAGCTACTCGCCCATGGTGGAAACTCTGTTTTATCTAATGACGCATTCTACTGACAATACTACTCTCGCTGCTACTAGAAACAAGACAATTTACATTATTATTTACTACGTCGCTTATTCACTCCCTTTTATTCCCAATTTGTGTATTCTTCCTTTTCAACTTATGCAGCAGCTCGACCATGACGGAAACTCTGTTCTATCTAAACGATCTCCAGTCACTGTCTGGTCGAAAGTGAAAGTTTCCACCGAATACATATACTGAACCAGTCTTTCTGAAACCACGTACATCATTCAAACTGGCTTCTTTCAACGTTTCCACAATAATGCAGATCAGAAAACAGATAGGGCTGACTATGTCTTTACAAAGTCCTAATATGGGCGTTTGTTGTCTATCCGAGACCCGTATTCAAGAACCTAGTGAAGTACTACACATTCGCTCTCCATCTGTCGCTTCGAAAAGCTTGTTTCACGTGCGCTTATCCGTGGACTCTGTGGCATCTTCGTCTGGTCTTGCTGGCGTTGATGTCTCACTAAGCGCTAGAGCTGGAGCAGCACTAATAGATTGGATCCCCATTAACAGTAGGTTATGTGATGTGATGAGAATTGGTTGCAACTTCATGACGCCATGAAAATGGCGAGTAAAGTCGCTTGCGGCTTCGCGAAACGTCCCGCTCATAAGCACTGGCTTTCTTCCGGCTCCTTACAACTGACCGAAGCCCGTTGGTCTACTTCGGGTGACCGTCAGTTTGACCACAAACGAAGGCTGTTACGTAGTGAAATTGGGCAAAGCTTGCATAAGGACCGAGAAGCCTGGTAGTCGGAGCGTGCTAATGAGCTGGGAGCAGCAGCGGGTAACTGTCGGAAGCTCTTCCACTTCATCCGAGCCACTGGCAGCAAGAAGTCTGGTGTGAGTGAAACAATCTGTGAGGATGATGGGACGCCAATCACTAACATCTGTCGATGTCTTGAACGATGAGCGGAATTCTTCGAAGGGCAGTTCAACTGGCCTGCTGCTCCGGCAACATCGATCAGACTGTCCTGCCCTCCATGGTCGGTGACGACGGACCTAGCAAATTCAATTGACCATACAGAAAGTAGGATCTGATACAAGTCTACATATGAGAATGGAAAAGTGAATTGCATGTATTTCAAGATTATCAGTTTCGCACTTATTTTCATCTAAGGCCTTGAACCACTGATTGAAATAGTGGTCAGGACTTCAACCAAACTATCTGCACGTTCTCACACGGGTTGGTTCAGCAAACGTTAGTTTTTTTATTTGATCACATCCTAACCTTTTACCGAATTTGATAGTGTTCATGAAATTATCGACTTTATCATGACTAAAAAGCAAAACTGAACTTATCTTACAGTACTATTAACCAATCATTACTGTTATCGCTTATCACCTTTGTCTGAATTTCACATCGAACGATATTTTCCTAAACTTATCGATTAAAATCACCCCAATGACTCATTGTTGTTATGTTGGGTTGGTTAACACTAACTGGGTGGAAAAAGGCGAATAGGAATGTGATAAAAATCATGTGAACGATTGTAAAGTACATCATAAAAGACAGATCCACATACATACAATCTAAAACCCTGTTTGAGGTACAAGTGACTGACCTTGTTACTGTAAAGTGAACCATAAATTTTATGATAGATCACCTTGACCTAATACATGGTTTGATTATGTTTACGGATGTCAGTTAATAAAATATTAAGATATTAATTTTATCAACTTAAAGCATTTAGTCCGTTTTATACATTTTGATAGAACAATGGGAAGGCGGAGTTTATCTCGAAAAAATTGATGTGTTTCCGCCGTACATTTTGGATAATCTGGTCACTTGTCAAGACATTTTGTGTGAAAGTTAATCAACGTCGAATAAATGAAAGTTCGGGTAAACAACAGGACAACACTATGGAGGCTTCTTCGACACTACGGCATACCTACCTGAGAAGATAGTCAATATTATACGGAACTCCTATGATAGATTAAACTGCCAAATCGTCTATGGAGGACAACTCACCGACTCATTCGAGGTAAAGACCGGTGTCAGGCAAGGTTGCTTACTCTCACCCTTTCTCTTTCTCCTGGTAATCGACTGGATCATGAAAACGTCAACATCTGGAGTGAAGCACGGGATATAATGGACAGCTAGGATGCAGCTAGACGATTTAGACTTCACAGATGATCTGGCTCTTCTATCACACACGCAGCAACAAATGAAGGAGAAGACGACCAGTGTAGCAGCAGCCTCAGCAGCAGTAGGTCTCAATATAAACAACGGGAAAAGCAAGACTCTCCGATACAATACAACATGCACCAATGGAATTACGCTTGACGGAGAAGCTTTGGAGGATGTGGAAATCTTTACATATCTGGGCATCATCATCGATGAACATCGTGGATCAGATGCAGATGTGAGGGCGAGGATCAGCAAAGCAAGAACAGCATATTTACAACTGAAGAACATCTGGAACTCAAAACAATTGTCAACTAACACCAAGATCAGAATTTTCAATACAAATGTCAAGACAGTTCTACTGTATGGGGCGGAAACGTGGAGAACTACGAAAGCCATCATCCAGAAGATACAGGTGCTTATTAACAGTTTTCTACACAAGATACTTCGGATCCGTTGGCCAGACACGATCGCCAACATTGTATTGTGGGAGACAACATACCAGATTTCAATGGAGGAAGAAATCAAGAAGAGGCGCTGGAGGTGCATAAAACACGCATTGAGGAAATCACCCAACTGCGTCACAAGACAAGCCCTCACATGGAATCCTGAAGACCTAAGGAGAAGAGGAAGACCAAAGAACACATTACGCCGAGAAATGGAGACAGACATGAGAAGAATGGACAAAATTTGTATAGAACTAGAAAGGAAGGCCCAGGGCAGAGTGGGTTGGAGAATGCTGGTCGGTGGCCTATGCTCCATTGGGATTAACAGGCGTAAGTAAGTAACAGTACAGTCGAGTAAACAAAGTGGTAATTATTAATAAAGCAGAGAGACAATTAATATAATAAACAATTTTTACATTTTCCAGATCAACTCTGTTTTTCTATTGCTCTATCAAGATTTTCAATTAGTCAATATTTAGATGACCATATTCTTATAAAAGTGGATACATATTCTTCTTCATGATTCCATGTATATCCAAATGATTCATACCACTACTTGGAATCCATTGATTCATGGCGATCGACATGACGGGATGGAAAGACAAAATTACATTCTTTTACCCATTGTGACTTGTTCAATATTAGTTCCGTTTTTAATTCAATGTGATGTTTTATTCAGTATAACATTAATTTATTTGTGTGGGATGTCATTTCAAGATACAATATTCTTGTATGAAATTAACATGAACTATGCTCGGCATGACACGAAGCTTGTGATTTGTTATAACACTGGGTATTTTTCATATATGACTTTATCCCAATCAATAATCGAAATGGATGACCAATTAGTACATATTGAGTACATTTTTCGACGAGGGTCGTATAATTTGGAGCTTGGTGAATCTTCACTTGTACCAGTCTTAGAGTTCTTACTTCGCGTCGTGGGAATAGTATTGGTTCTTCGTTTTACAAGTATAAGTAATAAACGATTCGGCATAACAATTAGCGATGACCAGACATAACAGTTATTGCTTTCAAAAATATCAGAGTACAATACACTTTGTCTAGTGTGAATAGAATGCATTTTGATTGATACAGTTCAACTAGTACTAAGGATTATACAAAATAATATTGATTATGGGTAATATATCATCATCTAATGTCCGAAGAAATTATTCGCCTATATATTTCAAGCAAACTTGATAAAATCTAGTTTCATAGACGTCTTGGATGAGAATAGATGATAACTGAATTAACAAGTGGCGTATTCTGATATAATTTTGTTTTTTTCTAATCACTGATTGCGGTTATGGGGTGAATTCTAACCTGGTAGTCTGCATTTACAAACGTGACTCAGACAATACGTCGATTACTTTACAGAGACCCAATTAGCTTAGGAAAAAACACTTGGTGAAATAAAGATACAGTAGATTAAATGTTTCTATATTTATGGTGATATTATCAATATGACAATACACTAAAGAAAAACGGAACACTGAATAAAAAAACATCCTACCCTAAAAACTGTCAATTAAAGGTTAATGAGATCTTTCTACTTATGCTTGTGAAGCGAGCTGCTTTCGAATTTTAACGTGAATGATAATCTTAAGTATGAGAATAACAATATATCATGTGAATGACGAAAATGTTGTGGACATTAGGAAATGTTAGAAATTAATAGTTACAAGGATTATCGGAGAGAATCATATGCTGATTATTACCTCTTCATGATTAACAGAATTTATTTCTATAAAAGCTTCATTTAATCAAAGCATTCATGTTTCTCTATGTGAATTACTAATTTAAATTCATAAATCATACTATTTTGCAAGGCTACCATAAAAAAGTAACTGAAACTATATTTAAGGAATTTCTTGACACAACTTTAGAAACTTCACGTAACAGCTTATATGAAAGAAAATCAATTCCTCTTCAGAGAAAACCAATTTGACCTAATTAAACAACACTAATATAAAAAGTAGTAATCTGTAATACTTCTTAGTTGTTTGGTTATCATAGTCAATGAACTGTTGTTACAATTTTTAACAGTCACATGACTTATGTGTTACACTAATAATTATTAAGTGAGGTCAGTGTTCTCGCTAGAAAAATAACAACCAAGATAATGGTAGAGATAATAGTGGATAGAATAAAACGATATAAACTACTGGATAAAGTGTAATATTAGTCAAGTAGCTTAAATAAAGCCAAACATTTAAAATGTTGCATTCAAAAAATCGGTGGTATGTCCTCATGAGTAATAAAACAGACAAAGAAACAATATGAGGAATACTCACTTGGATGCTTCTAATAATCCAGCAGATAATTCTAAAAACACCGATAAATAATTACCACGTACAACACCATTACCATCTGGATAAACTTTAAGACGCCAGCTTAAACCGCCTACATGTAATGGTTGACTATATACAGGATCAGCTCTTTGTTTCATAATGGAATAAGGCTGGAGTGTAAATGTACTCGATTCATAAGGAGGTACAATTTCACTAAGAATAAGTGATATGATAAAAAAGATAAAAACATCAGAAGAACAGAGATAACAAAGCAAACAAATATCAAAGAAATTCAACGTAATCCATTGTTCACTAACTTATAGGACGACAGCCAAAAACAAACTTTCGGAATGTTCTAATAAAACTAAGAAAATCTGTACTGGTGTATCGGAAAAATTGAAATTTTCATGAAAAGCTACAGAAAATAATTAGGATAAGGTTATTACAAGTAATTAAATCAACTTGTTACCCTCAGACAACATGTCTTTTTCCAGTGTTTGATGCTATACTACTTTTTATTAATAAATAGTCTGAACTATAGTTAATGTATTTTTAAGATGTATCGCAGTACATGCCATTGGTTTTTTGAAACGAGCTTCTTACCACCTTACTTCGATATATCAAGTCGCTGAATGAGCAACAGATAATCCCCCTCAAAGTCTTGTTTACTTGTTATGGAAACTAAGTATGTCTCGGGAGATTCGTTTAATTGTAAAAACGTGGAGCAATTCTTCGGAGACAACAACAGTTGACTAGAAGTATGATGGTGAGCTACCTAATAAGAAATCATTAAAACAAACTTTCTTACGAGCCATTTAATTTAAATACGAGTTTCATCATGCCACCGTATAACTTATAATACATTCCGCAGTCTAGTATTAATCAACAAAAAAGCTTCCAGTAATACCAAAGTTTGAAGATTGTTGGTACACATTGTTTGAGTACTGGAATAGTCCGGTTGTTTGTTCATTTTATGATTCATCTTTGAGAAATTAGTTGAAAACTTTACTAGAAAACAAAAGCTATTGAACAACAGTTCCATTATACTACGGTTTTTTAAAACTTTAATCCTATAAAACACCACGGGATTTTATCTAGAGCGGGACTGTCCACTTTCCCTATTCTCATTCAACTTTGTCAAAAACATTCTTGTTGAGATAACACTCGGATAGCCTGACTTTTCAAGAATTTGACTGCCACCAAGAGATTCTCTTGTTGACGTAGAATACTCAGATGACACAACCCTATTTGATGAAGAAACTGGGAAAATGCAGTCTTCTGATTGCCTTGAGCAACAATGCAATCATGTTTGGGATGTGTTTCTCTTCCTTTAAATGTAAACCTTTGTTGCGAGACTGATCTTTATTAACGCTTCCATTAATAGTAGACAATGAAATAGTTAAGCGCGTCCACCACTTGTAGCGTTTCATAAGAAGTAACTCTTATCAAAATCTGACATCGCAGTTACAATTTCAATACAATCGAGCGTGTTCGTTGTGCTGTCTTCAATCTTGATCCAAACATGACTATAAAAGTATATACTAGTTAGATCTGAGAGTTACTGGATCGTATAGTACATTCTATACAACTAATACTTTGAAACATCTTGCCAACTCACTTATCATGATAGTTTCACCACCCCGTAGTGGGTTAGTGTCTAATGAAATCTCGGCACAAATTCAAGAAGCACGGCTGGTTTCTGACAAATTGCGTCATTGCTGTTCCAAGAGAGATGTTCATTTACCACCCGAAAGACGAGTTTGTTGCTCAGCAGTTCACTCTGTTCTACTCTATGGCCGTGAAATGTGGCATTTACAAATGAGGGCTATTCATATATTACTGGCACTTTATCATAGATACCTTCGAAGAACTGTTTGCGTATGGTGATACTACCGAGTGATCAATCCTGAGGTTAGAACCAGGGTACTAGGTAAGGACAACAGGTTGTGTGCTGAGTATGAATAAATGACCGCTAAGTTGTTAATTTATTTAAATCATGATACACTGTCATTCATAACAAATATTATAAGTGAATAATATTTGACTTTACTCACCTTACAAAGTCAGCTGGTACAGGCGCACTAACAAACGAAGCCATAGGTTTACAATGTACGTCACTAAGCAGTGCTAAAATTTCAGATGATCGTTCTACCATTTCAGACGGTTTGGCAACATCTACCGCATATTGAACATCATGTAAAAGATTTTCAAGTGATTCGATTTCCTAATTATTAATTTTTTCAAAAGAAGTGGAGAAAATGTACATGGCATCCATATAACGCATATATATATATATATATATATATATATATATATTCCTCTAGTTGAAAAAAATTAAAATCAAGAGGGTACGAGATAGACAACTTCGGCTCATAGTAACTTCTCATGAATAAACACTGACTTTTCTAGTAGTCGAATCAGAAACTGTCGAAGACTACAGGAACCCTTTAAAGATCAACATATCTCATAAACCAACACAATGACTTCATTCTGTTTTAAGACAGACCGAAAAGAATAACATCAAAGGAAGACTAATGAGATATTAACTAATAAGTGAATTGAGCCAAATGCAAAAAGCGTTATACTGGATGAGGTGAGAAATCTACTCGTTCAAACGTACATGAACATTGACTAGCAACCCCACACGATAAAATGTTACTAGCTTATCGATGCACGCAGATAATTAAGTACATAAATTCCATTGAGAAAATGTTAAAAGTTTGGGTAGGGGAATTTCAAGAAATATGGAATACAGATCAACTTCTAATGGGTAAGCGAATGGACAAAGATCCAATTTACCAATCTATATATGAAAAGTGAGTAAATTAGAGATTCAGAGATTAACCGAACAGAAAAGTCGACGAGAATATAAAGACACATGAAAGTGACAAAATCTGAATAGACAGCCAGTCATAAACAACATTAACAGAGAGGTCTGATTTTACATTTGTTGAGTGTAATTAAGAAAAAATAAATTTAACTCACTTGAAATAATTGACTACGTTGACTCATTAGAGTAACTAGTTTTGATTTTAGTTGTGAATCTAAACGCGCTACCATTAATTCAACTGCATTGCGTAATTCTCGAACACGTTCTTCTTTGGCTTGTTTTACAGCCTGTACATTCTTCTCCTATTTCAATAACAATAATCAGTATTATTGTCACGATAAAACTAAAAAGGGGTAAAACTATTCGATTTGGGGGACATTTTAAGTATCCGTTTCCTCTGTGTTATTCAAGACACATAAGCTTGAAAGTATTGAAACCGAAATAATAATTCAAGAAAACACCAATATTAGTTTTATATATATCAAAAAATGGAAGTGAGCAATTTACTTCAAAAAAACGGCGGCTGGAAACTCTAAAAATAATTATTATAGAAAGGGAAAGAAAATGACCAAGCTGGTAAGTCAAGAAATCATAGGTTAAATAGGACCCGGTAATTCTTATCAATCCAAGTTGCCATAGGTCGTATAAAGGAGGACAAGAAGAGGAATAATAATGCGTATTTTAGTGAAAAACTAAGCACAAAGAACATGGTTCAAGAAAGATAATTAAACTGGCGGGATGAAAAGTACAAAATAACAGTAAGCTAAAAATTTAGAAGATAAAGAATGGATGTAACTACATCATTGAGGTCGACCATGGGCCACGAAATTTAATCTTCAACTATTGATTACAAACTTAGTGAGATAGTTTACAATTTCGCACATTGCATAGACTAACAGTCAATGACTTGTAGGAATGGTAATTAAGCGCAAGCGTTATGAACAAAGATGGATGGTGGCTAGCAGTGGAATCCAGGACGCGCGTCTCGTCCTATTTGGGACTCGTCAGCCGGATGTACCTGCATTCCAGAGTTGATGTCTACTCCGAGACTCGAACCCAGAGCAAGGGCATACAATATCTGATTCAGGTATATCATGATCCAATCGTGAACCAAAATAAACATAGAGACTGAATACACCTCTTTTGGTCTTCTGTAGTTAATTCTATTTTTTCAACATATCATTAACTAACTAAAAGAGCTTATTTTAGCCATTGTAGTACAATAATTATGTACTTATAACTATTAAGCCTGATGACGAAGTTATTGAAAACAGTTGTTCGTTCCAGAATTCTTTGTTTGTTAATCGTTATTATATCGCTTGCTGTCGATAAATCACAGTGAACTGACCAACAGATGTAATATTCAGTTTAATGTTAAAACTGTCAAAATGATTAGTCATATATATAATGATTTTTTTGAGTTTGAATGCTAAAAGGTATTGAGGTAATCTTAATGTTCTGATTATTGGGTTGAAAATAGGTGAATGTCACTTTGAGATATCGATCATTATCTTACATAGCAGCTACGTTATGGAAACAGAATCACTCAAATATCCCTAGATGAGTTATCAAGTAGAGGAGCTGACAATAGACATCATTACGGACTTGGCAATGCTTAAGCGAAGAATTATGTAAACATAACAAAGTTGTTATTTTTTCGAGTCTTTTTATATGACCCTAATTGAATCACTAGATACGATTCCACCGATGCGAATCCGGTTTGTAATACACTAAGTCAAGTATACTTTTCACCTTTAGACTGACGACCTTAACTTTGATTAAATACAGTGACCGACCGCAATTAGCCTTCATCAGCAACCAAGATAATTCTTGACGCATCCTTTCCTCCAGTCCGGTATTGAGTCCAAAATAAGAAAACAACAAGCTGAAAACCTTTTATCGTTATATTCCAGACACTCATGGCTTTATGCACATAAATTAGCAAACGTCATTATCCGGCAAACCAGAAATAATAATTCATGCACAACCAGGCGAAAAGTGACAGAACAAGGGCACAAGGTGAATAACTAATCGGAAATAATGAAGGAGCGGTAAAAAGTAAAACAGTAGTTAGTGAGTATAGGGGAAGCTTACGACAAGGGGAATATGAAAATACAACTATCCAGTCACTAATTGGTTATATGGTAAAAATATATGGGGATTCTTAGTAAAATAATTTTTAATATTCTATCTGTACAAACAAAAGTAATAACGTAATTTGTTTTAGTTATTAATCAGGATTTTACTGAGATAATTAGCGAGTTCTCATGACTGATTATGACAGTAAGAAGATGAACTGAAGATTGTCTAGGAGCCTGAATTTATCGAGTTTGATTTGATCAAGGCATGAATATCGTCACAACCTAATAAATATGTAATAGACAAACAACAAACTGTTCAGGTCTCTCACAATTAGTTTTGAAGAAACGATGTAATGAAAAGTTAGAGTAGTTAAAAAGTCAACTGCAAATTAGATATTTTTGACGTAGTAACATGTTTAAATCTATGTAAATGTGGTTAATACGCTGGTTATATTATCAGGAGTTCGTTTAAGATTTAAAAGACTTTCTCCTTTATCATATACAGATAAACTTGTTGAACATGAAAAGAAATCATTTGGATATCTTTCCACTACATACAGAATTTTACCAATACTACCAAGGTTTTGATACTTTACTATACCTCTGGAATAATATACTTTGTTCATGTTTTTTTTATCATGGTAAACTGTCTTTAACTTAGAGCTTTTTTCTAAAGGACCAATATAAGGTTTCATCTCTATCAGTCAAATTGGTCAGTTCCACATTTGCAGATTTCATTTATGAATATGTCCTCATGTATTTTTGTGTGTCCTCTTTTCGGTTTTTCCCTAACGGGATGTAGTTTTATGTGACAGATTATTAGTACGCTACGGTATGTAATAGAGACATTTAAAAGGCAAAAAGTACATGCTCATTTTGAAATATTATATCTGGGCGAGCATGTGAAAGTGGATTGCATTAGTTCGATCCCATTGATTATCTTTTGCTTAGTTGTGTGATTATTTTGAGTGCCTTATACGTGAATCCTTTGAATATTGCATTGCTTAGTTGCATTTCTACCTATCTGTTTTTCTACCGACCATATTCTATTGCTACACTTACTTACTAACGCCTGTTAACCCTGGTGGAGGAGCATGAGTCCCCGATCAGGATTCGCCATCCAACTTTGTCCTAGGAAATCCTTTCCAGTTGTTATTCATCCTTTCCATATCTGCTTTCACTTCCCGACGCAGTGTGTTCTTCAGTCTTCCTCTTCTCCGTTTCTCTTCAGGATTCCAGGTTAGCACTTGCTTAGTGATGCAGTTAGGTGATTTCCTCAATGTATGTCCTATCCACTTCCAACGTCTTTTCCTAATTTCCTCATCGGCCGAAAACTGGTTTGTTTTCTCCCACAGTAGACTGTAGTTGATGGTACCCGACCAACGGACATTGAGTATCTTACGTAGACAATTGTTTACAAATACGTGTACTTTTTTGATGATGGTTGTAGTAGTTCTCCACGTTTCAGCTTTGTACAGTAGAACTGTCTTTACGTTCTTATTGAAGATTCTCACTTTGAAATTAGTTGAGAGTTGTTTTGAGTTCCATATGTTCTTCAACTGTAGGAATGCCACCCTTTGCCAATGTTTGTCATCACATCTGCATCAGATTCTCCTCGTTCATCGATGATGCTGCACAGATACGTGAATGTTTCCACTTCTTCCAGAGTTTCTCCATCAAGTGTGATGGGGTTGGTGTTCTCTGTGTTGTGTTTGAGGATGTTGCTTTATCCCTTGTGTATGTTGCGACCTACTGATGTAGAGGCTTATGGTACGCTGTTTGTCTTGACCTGCAATTGTTGGTGTGTGGGCTAGAATAACTGTGTTATCTGCAAAGTTCGAATAGTCTAGTTGCATCCCAACTGTCCATTGTATTCCGTGCTTCCCCTCAGATGTCGAGGTCTTCATAATGCAGTCAATCACCGGAAGAAAGAGGAAGGGGGAGAGGAGACAGCCTTGTCTGACTCCGATCCTCACCTGAAATGCTTTTTTCAGTTGTTTCCCATGCACGACTTTGGACTGTAGTCCGTCGTATGAATTCCTGATGATGTTGACGATTTTCTCAGGCACACCATAGTGTCGAAGAAGGTTCCATAAGGTTCTCCTACCTAGGCTGTCAAACCTTTTCTCTCAGTCAAGGAAGTTGATGTATAGTGACGAGTTCCACCCAACTGATTGTTCAACGATGATCCAGTGTCGCGATTCGGTCTGTGCACGACCGAACCTTACGGAATCCAGCCTGTTGATCTCGAATGTGGGCGTCTACTGAGACTTTCATCTGGTTCAGCAATACTCTGTTGGAAACCTCTCCTGGTACTGACAACAGTGTGATTCCTCTGTAGTTCTCACATTTGCTCAGATCTTCTCTCTTCGTTATTTTGATGAGGTGTCTCTCTTTCCAGTTTGTCAGTGACACTTGTTCTTCCTCCCAAATCTTCCTGAACAGAACGTGGAGCATGTTTGCAGTTGCTTGTATTTCTGAATTCAGTGCTTCGGCTGGTATATTGTGAGGTTCTGCTGCTTTCCCACTTTTGATTTGTTTGATGGCCTTTCTGATTTCTTCGATCGTTGGTGGAGTGACATCTATAGGAAGGTCTGTGTGTGTTGCTTCTATGTCCGGTGGGGCCGGTCTATTCATAATCTCTTCATATTGTTCTACCATTCTTTCCTCTGTTCTTGAATCTCAGTAATTGGCTTGTCTTCTTTGTCACTGACTGGTCTCTCTGATTTACTATAGTTCCCTGCTAGTTTCTTCGTTGTATCATATAGCTGTTTCATATTTCCTTCTCTTGCAGCTTTTTCCGCTGTTGTTGCTAGGTCTTCCACACATTTCTACCTGTCGGCTCTAATGCTCTTCTTCACTTGCTTGTTTGTTTCTGTGTAATCAGCTTATGCCTTGACTTTCTCTGTTCTTGTTCGGCTGTTGTTAATTGTTTAGTTTAGTGTAGTTTATATATTCTAATTTCACTTTTCATACAATTTTAATCTATTATTTAATTTGAAGATAATTTACGATAGTAATAGGTAGAAGACTATTGAAACCAGAGATTACTAGATGACAGTTTGAAAATGTTCGCCAACAACAACTGGAACCTTCAAGTTTGCTGAAAGCATGATATATTTGAAATAGCAACTAATTTGTGATGACAGCACAAGATGTATTGACTATTTCATTTTTCGCATGCTTGACTTAACTACTAACAATACCTGCTGATTGTGTTCTTAGAAAAAAGTGATAAGATTAATTGATCGAAAGTTTTAGTTATGGAAAAAGCAACAACGACAAAAACGATGTGATAGAAGAACGAAAGAAACACCAACTTACAACATCTTGAAGTAATGATATTAATTCTAAATGTCTTCGTTTAAATTGATCCATTTCATTCTTTATCTGTTTTACATGTTCATTATAAACATCATCTAACGGACGAAACGAATGCTGTTCGTGATTATTATCAAATAATGCACACTGATGACAGATAGCATAGCCACATGTTGTACAAAATACAGATAAACGTTCATTGTGCAATTCGCAACTTGAAATAATTCAATTATGTATAAAATTTATTTAATTTAATCCCAATTGAAAAGAAAACAATGGGAATGAAGAGAGAGAAAATAATTTATTATTGTCATTGATAATAAAATGAAAATAGTTTGATCAATTATCTTGTGTATACCATAAATCTCATGACGAACTGAGGGGTTAGACAAGTTGTTTTCCTAGTTTGGAACATTTCTTCTCTCGATGTGCATTTACGATATCACACAGAATCGAAAGCACGGCATAATACTATTACTGAGCCCGAATTCTGTGTGAATTGCAACCCCAATTTCACGCAATTTACGAAACACTGTGATCAATATCTAAAATCATCGGTAGGTTTCTGTTCAACTTTTGAATTAGTGATTTCGTATGTCATGATTCTTCATCAGAAAAAAAGTCACCATACAACGACAAGCTGGTGAATACCAGACTGTCATTCACTAAGGTAGATCTGTAGAGAGGCTTGTAATGTGTAAAGATAATAAAAAGTTGCAAACAAAATTAACTGATAGACTCTGACGTAGTACAGAAATGAAGCGAATTCAACTTCCATAGCTTAAATTGTGGAATACGGAATACATAATCCAAAAGATAATAGTGAAATATAGGCAGTCATCTAACAATTTCTTTTAATTTCACTTCAACTGAGAAAACTTCGAAATACCAGCTAGTATGAATTCGAATTGAGAAAGAGGTAATCGGTAAAGAATGATCATAAATGGGCAGATAAAGTTAGAGATTATTTTTGAGCGGGTTCAGAAAAATACCCAAGAGGTTAGTCTGGATGCAAATTATAAACCAAGGAACGAACCTGAAATAAGGAAATTAATGAACATTATTATTCGTTGGCTAATTCTGATTGCATCAGTTGCGAAATGAAAAGTAAATTATTCGATCCACCAAGACAGAAAAGTAAAGAAAAAATTATCAGAGCAGATAACAATATACGACAAATCGATCTAGAATATTCCCTTTGAGTGAGTAATCTGAAAAGGCACAATCAACGAAGTCGAATCGACTCGAAAAGCCGACTAATGGATGGGAAGCAATCGGGTATAGTTAATGAAACAATATGTACTAACAATGAATCAAATCTGAATAAATTCAGATAGCTAATCAGAAGACTGAACAATACAAGCAAACTAAGTTAGCGACATAAATTAGTCGAAAAACAGCTGTTTAATACTTGATTTTTAAGCAAACGAAGGTATACGCACATGTATTTAAGTATATTTCGACGGAAGAAGAATTATATGCGGTATACACAGTATTAAGAAACAGTTGCACTTAACATGATCAGTGTATGATAAAGGGGAATGAGAACAACTGACTCAATTAGGAGTACATCTCAGTCTAATTAACAATTTCGTGAACCCCCCTCCATTATGAACAAATCAGTTTAGAGTGATACATTTCTCCAAATTATGACAGACAACTATGACTTTTGTGTTAAATGAAGTTGGTAAATCTGGAATTCATAAGATGTTGATGTTACATAAAAGTCGGTTGTCGAAGGGTTAACGGCAAGCACTGTTCGTTTACATTTTCATGAGATAGGAATTCCATAAAACGTTACCGAAAACCTTTTTACCGGGTCGTTCAATCCAAAATAGATGCGCGTGAATAATGTTTAGTCTCAAGTGAATGATATCATGAGACAAGTCAATGGAAATTTACTTAAGCAATATAATTCTTATCATGGACATATATTAGTTAGACAACCATTGAAAACCACAAAGCACTGGACAGCTAGAGTTAAACCTCGAGGTTGATGAGGTGCCGTGACCAGTAGAGTTCAAATATGTTGGGTGGAAATAGTTATACACAGCAGGCGATGGAAGATGACAGCTCAATATTGAGAATTGATTGACGATAAACACGAATACCGTTGAATAACAGATAAGAGGTATAAATGTGAATCCCTCAACGCGTAACCGAAGACCATGGGTTCCATCCACAGTGGGGGGCGTGGATGACCACTGCTAAGGAGTCCTATGCCAGGATGAAAGGGCAATCTAGTGCTTCCTGACTTTAATGGTTGCCTAATTAAGATCAGTCCGTGATGTAAACTATGGAAATCCAACAATCTCTACAAACCCTCTATACAAAAGAAACTTCACTGATGTTGCAAAACCTACGAATGGGGTATCGATACTAAGTAAGTAGTCAACATGATTAATAATCGAATAAAATAAATTTGACAAATTAAACATAAAAGAGTATCTTGGGGGTGATATAGGATTCTATATGTCGATTATCAGCTTTGAAAAAAGGATACAGTGGGCAATTCGCAATATGATGTCGTCCAGCCATACTATCAAGTTATTTCACATGTACTGTTTAGACTAGTAAGATGATAAGCTGAATTTTTCGACTAACCCCCACATTACACTAGATTAACTGACTTATGTCTACTTCTATCTTATAAAAGAGACATTTCTGAATACTGATTGCAAAGAAAGAAAGAGGAGTACGGTAAGATTCAGATTTTACATATCTGCATGTGAAGCTCCTTCCAATGAAAGCTTATTATTATCATTATGGAGAAAGTCATTATTCAAAACAAACAAGTAAAGAACTTTAATATAAAACTATATATATATATATATATATATATATATATATATATATAAATCATGAAAAAAAATATCGGTTTTGAGAAATGACATACTAAAGTTTGACAGATTTGAAAGTAGTTTATATCACTAACCGATTGTAGCTACCCAACCATGGGGATCCGAAGACTTAGAAACTGTTTTGTTTTAGTGTGGAACATGTGCTAGTTTTTCAACTTGATAAATGACACCGGAAAACCACCAGCACTGTCGTCAGTCAAGAAACAATACAAGGTCAATTGAAAAATTAATGACCAGTCAAACACTCACTGTCGTCTTTCCAATTTTTAATTTATTTAGAGACAACAAACGTTTTGTTAAGTTACACCTAAATGAAGTTTCACAACAACCACGAGAACTAATGATCGAAGCGTATTGTGAACCATACTAATCCCATAGACCATCTTTTGAAGTCGGAGCCGCTCAAGAATTAATATCTATGTGATCAATTTGAATAACACACCACTTTTGAGCCAATCGTTCCTGCACGAATCCAAACAAGTTTCTCCTTACATAGCAAATGTGAAGCTTCAACAGATACACTTATACAAAAAAACAATCATAATCTTACACTTCAGTACTAGATGTTGATAATGTATTATTAACTGATGCTCCTCCCAATGAATCATTTTGACCACTACCAGATCTGGATGAAGTAGCTTGAGATTGTAAATTATCCAATTGTTGAGTAACTTCATCGGCCCAACGACAATTAATCAATTCATAAATGTGCAATGAAGCCCTTGATTTTGTAAAGAAAAAGGATGAAAGAGGTAGATTAAATTTCTCCATCTGAATAACATGAAAGATGGACACTTATTTTGCTTCAAAAAAAGTATTTACCATTTGATTGTGAGTTATATTTATTTAAAAATAAAGCATCAACCGTAGGATTACGAAACTTCATTCAACTAGTTTCCTTGACAAATAAAACAGAGCAAGAATAGCAATAACATGCTTTTTCTTCAACTACATACAAGCCAACACATTTAATTATTTCCAAATATTAAAATAATATTGAAAAGTGAATTGTCAATCATAACGACCAAGTTGTGCTAACTGTGGAATAAATCAAGAATAAAGGGTTTTAGTGGGGTTATTTTTATAACTACCTAAACTGATATCACCTTAAGCTTATTTGTAGCTGAAGAGGAGGTAATGAAATACTATGGATTCACCGTATTCTGCAAATAATTGTTGTCCCCAATTTGTCCTAATTATGAAACTAATTGAATAACAAAACCATGCTTTATTCATAGAACTAGTAATAAGACATGCAAAAATCATTATTCTTAAATCAAAACAGAATTTTAAAGAAATGATCATCAATATTATTAATGGTACTACGTAACAATAAGAAAAACTGATTTTCTGAATGTAACATAATGTTATGGAACAATATTACCTGTAAAGATGTTAACTCGAAGATAGCTATATCATAGATTGATATACACTGACGTACTATTTAAAAGCCAGAAAATAACCTGGAAAGTTGGATTAGTTTAGGTTTTTTAGATTTATTTAACATCCTGAACTAAAACATTAGGCACAGAATTGAACTAAGAACCGTTAAGCCTCATAATAACGAAGATAATAAAAAATTTCCACGAAAATTATCATGGAAATAGAGTAGTCTTCAAAACATTATTTTATTGAAGGGAAAGTATTAGTAAGCAGAGATGGATAGTGATGCGAGTATTTTTATTTAGTTTTATATATTTTCCTATCGAGAAAACCGATATTTAGTTTGAAAGTTTAATCAAATATTGGATAAACCTGATTGTGAATAGCACAGTGAATATTCAGATACAACACAATTTTAGGTGAAATTATGATTTATCTAATTTGAGTGATCACTATCAACAAGTCGAATTTGTGCAGGAATCTGGAAGAATTCAAGTTGTGGTCAAATAACAAACTGCATGCGTTGACTGAAGGAAAAAGCTTGTGCTGATGCACTTTAAAATGACAATCGAGGTTCCACAGTTAACTACAATGGAGCTACAAATAGCAACAAACAGATTACTCTTAGGTTAATTTGATTCGGCCACTAGTTTTAAAAAAACCACACTGCATATGAGCTACCTAGATACAATTTAGAGCAAAAGGAGATATTAAGTGACGGCTAGTTTATCCGGAAAAGCAAGATGAAATCTTGTAATTAGAAGAATACTCTAATCATCCCACTAACAATAACACAGTTTAATTCTTCACTGATATAAGGTCAGAAACATAACCTACGAAGTGTTCTATTAGTTATTTAACTGATATCTATGATTTTGTAGTGGTTCAGTAGTTAAGGATTCCGATTAAGCTACCAAGACTCAGGTTTGAACTCCGCTCCATCCACTTCGGCTTGGAAAACTGGTTAATATCATTGGCATTAACGCTTACAGTTCAACTCATAACTAAGTGCCTTGTGAATGAGTTAATTTGAATTTCAAGTTAAAAATCCGTACTTTGGTCGTATTTCCAGATACATCGTTAGATCCTCTGTATAATTTCCATCACCTAATATTTGTTAAAATGAAGCGACGATTTATGAAACTTGGATTACCAATTATCGCTGTCATCTTTACAATAAGACTTGAACTGGTGTATTTAAGTGTGACCATGTACTAGGTGCGATGAGCAATCGAATGAAAAGCTGATTTAGTTAGTATTGAGATTTCACATTGACAGCATTTTCAGGTTCTCTTTTGTATAGAAACTATGCTGCTTATAAGTACTGATTAGTATGAGCCTCTTTTAAATGAGATCAAAATAATGCCACATGTACCCTGTATGATGAAAGGAAGCAATTTATATGAGCGGTTCTGTGGAAATATTACATATTTTGAAGGCAAATTTTTTTGATTACGAACTGACATTAGATAGTGAACTTGTAGCAAGCCCATTCAACTATTGTATTATTTGTGTCTTCTCTATAATCTAGACATGTAATCCACTTTGTAAATTTATGTGTGAGTCTGATTGAGCGCATGTGTCTGTACATCAATCTTTAATCTACTCTCTCATACAAAAATGAACAGTATTTGAGCGAAAAATTGTTTTCAATGGCTTCATCACCAGGCCCTACAATTGTAAGTCCATAATTGTTGTGATATTTTACAAAGGCCAAAATGAGGCATATATTAATTACATAGATGACACAGTAAACGTTAGCGACGAAATGGTTGACTAACAGGAGATATTGGACGTTTTTAATAACATCCACCCAGCTGCTCAATTCACCAGCGTGGAAGAGAAAGACAATAGTATAGCTTTCCCCGACGTCCTACTTTTTAGAAGGAGAGATGGTTCCATCAAGCGAAATATATTTAGAAAGAATACATGGACGGGTTAGTATACCCATTTACAAAGCTTCACTCCTCTTCAGTATAAAATAAATTTGGTTAAATGTCTCAGCCACAGAATCAAGCTATTATGTTCTGAGGACAGTGTTGATAGTGAAATAGATATACTAAAAAATACATTGCGAAATAATGGCTATCCAGATAAGCTCGTTAAAAAATACCTAGTAGAAAATACTGTTAAAAAAAGAAATTGTGACACAGTGAGTAAAAAAACCTTGTATCTGAAACTGGACTTCAAAGGTGACATAGCGGTGGATATTCTAACACGCCGACTGAAAAAATCGGTTGAAAGGACGTTTTACGCCGCCAAGCTACACATCACTTTCTCAACTAAACCAGTACTTACACAATTAATCAAGGATAAGTTACCGAAGATGGGCTCTTCCATGTGTGTATACCAATTCAACTGCTCCTGTGGAGCTCGTATATCCTGGGACCACCGGGTAAGTAATGCAGTTGTTAGAAAACAGGTAATAGGTAAGGATGGCAAATCGATTGATGAAGTAGTGAAACTTCACCAGTTGAGATGGCTGGGACATGTGTTACGTATGCCCAACCACCGACTGCCCCGATGTGCAATGCTTTATGGTGTAGGAGTAGGTTGGAAGAAAGCTAGGGGCGACCAGACCAAAACATGACATAAATCCATGAAGTCACTGACAAGTGGACTGAGCCATGTTGGTAGGTGTAGACTACCTGGTTGGGATTCGCGAGATGATAGCAACCGATGGTTAGAAACCTTGAATGACATGGCTCAAAATCGTTTGCAATGGCGAAGGTGTATCCACTCTTTGTGTTCTACCAAATTCTAAACTTCTGAATTTTTCATGTCCGTATCCTTTTTCTCTTTCCAAATTTATTTCACCGTATTATACTCCTTCAATAACATCTTCAAACCCTTATCTTTCACATAATACTTATACTGTTACTACTTCTACCAATATGGGATTTGAATCGACAACTTCATCTCTGTGCTAATGTGGTATGGCGACTCGGACTGATGTACGTACGTACGAAGTTCTACGTTGTAACTGACTGACTGCACCTGTGGAGCTAGTTACATAGGTCGTACTCAGAGGGCTTTATCCTTGCGCATTCGTGAACATGTACCAGCATGGTTGGGGAAAGGAGTCACTAAATCCATTAACAGTGCCATCCTTTTTCACTTGGTAGACAGTGAACATCATATCAAAATAGAGGAAGCCTTCTCTGTTTTATATCAAGTTCCGAAAACCCTACCTCAGAGAGCTAGATTACGATTACTTTACATAGCCGAAGCGATCTAGATCAACTCCAGAAAACCAAACTTATGCATCCAGAAAAGGTATATACAGCCACTATGTTTACCTTGGCCTGCGACTGGATCATCGGATTCCATAAACTGAATACTATAAACCTCCCCCTTTTTTTCTTTCTTTTTTTGTTGATCACCTCTATCTTAATCTTCACATCCATCATTCCCAATTCGTTCATCTTAATTACCTTGATAACACCCCCTTTTATTATATTCACACAACAATCTTATTATTATTACTATTTATCATTACTATCTCAATTAACAAGATGAAATTCTCATTTTTCCTAAATTACTATTATATTGATTGTGACTGGACACTTGATTACAAATCATTTTGACCTTTATTAAATGACCTTTCTAATTTACAAATAACACAAATTGGAAGTATATATATCATAACAGATGCAAACGTCCACCATTTTTAACATAACATTGTCAAATTAATTAATATATGCCTCATTTTGGACTTTGTAAAATATCATAACAATTATGGACTTATAACTGTAGAGCCTGATGATGAAGTTATTGAAAACAATTGTTCGCTCAAATATTGTTCATTTTTGAATATTCTCTCATTGGTTGTAAACAAAGACAATCAGTATTTATCCACAACCCATTAACACTCATAAATATATATATGGATTTTTAACACTCATTGACACACACACACTCATTTTCACTGTGTGCTTGCTATCTGTACGTTTGCGGATTTTACCCAACTTCAACAATAAGCCATCTCTATAGCTGGTGTTCAGGCTTTTGAATAATCTCGAGTAAACCCGTAATTCTACTAGGAGATTTAGCCTGCATTAAATATTCAGTTAGCGGGATTTTATTTATTTATTGGAGTCAGATATAGAGGAATTAGTCCTCAACAAAGTTTGTGATCCGCTCTTTGAACGCGCACCATGTCTCTACAAGTCTGCTGCATATTCTCTAATCATATCATAAAGAACTTCACATTGGAATTACTGCTACAATTATTAGCAATTCAATGACAGTCTTAATATATTCATTCATAACATTGCTCCTTTGGAATTATATCGGTATATTCTCATATTTGTACCCAAAGTGAGTTTTTTTATTCGG